ATCCGAGTAGGACTGAATATTACTACACTGTAAATAATTCTGTACACTCTTAATAATCCGGTAAAGTCACGCAGGTAATGATTTCTCGGTAATAAATTTGGTAATAATATTTTACCACGTGGTAAAATTCGTTACCATGATGGTAAACGTTTATGACCAACCCATCACCACATGCATGGTACAACTTATCATTACTACCTTGGTAGAGTCATATACTTGTGCTTTTCGGTAATGATCATTACCAGATTATTTACAGTGTAATAGATATTACCAAAGTGGTGACTATATGTGACTCTATCGCCATGTTAATATATTACGTATCAGAGGTCAACGCCGCCGATTATGCGCCGCCGCGCCGCCAGACGCCCAACCGTTTTGACGCGCCGCCGCCGCCGCAAAAATCTGGTCGGCGCGCCGGCGCCAATATTCGGCCGCCGATTTACATTTAAATCTGATGAATTTTTTAATTTAGTGTATTTTGTAATATTTTTTTTAACGTTTTTAAAAATTTTAACAGTTTGTTAAGTTTAATTTTTGTGTAATTTTGAAACTTGATATTTTAAAAATTTTCGTATTGAAATTTACCAGATCACATTTACGATACCATCAAATTCAAGTTGACTACTAGACGTTCCAGGCAAGAAATAGGGGCAAAGACTTATTACCTAGTTTAAACAACTAAAATAGGGATGCATCATAAAATTATGTAAGAACTGTTACAACCAACTGCGTGAAATGAAAAAGCCGTGATCTTTGATACAGTTTTTATGACCACCTCTGGTAAAAATATAACATGTTCAATTTTTCTCTAAACCTGTCTAAAGTGCATGAAGAAACAGTTAATGAAAAGATACACTCTCCAAGAAATATTGCAAATTTTAGATTATTAGCAATATGCTAATTTAGCGTTTTTCAGATCCTTCCTATTTATCGTATATACGTTTAGTAATTTATGTAGGCGCCGCCGAAGAAATTTTATCACCGCGCCGCGGCGCGGCGCCGCCGACCAATATACATTTTCACGCCGCCGCCGCCGCGTAAACCGTCGGCGTTGACCTCTGTTACGTATGTGTTACCACCTAATAATAAGTAAATTTATTATCACGTACATCGGTAATACCTGCTACCATGGGGTGACACGTATAATCAGACTGATTACAATTGACCACTAGTCGATAACAAATTTATTACCATCATGGTAAAGTCGTATAGGTACCGCTGGTAATAGCGCTTGTTACCAGTTTATTTAGAGTGTACAGGGTGGTTTAAATGTCACGTTACAATAGAAAATTTTTCAATAGGAAAAATTTGTAAATTTCCGTTAGTTACGGATTTGGAATTGAGATTTTTATTAATTTTTATCAAAACTTATGGAACACTGATGACAAAATTCTTAAAATATTGAATTTCAGAGGCAAAATTTCCGTAACTAATTGAGATTTGCGAATTTTTCCTATTGAAAAAATTTCTATTGTAACATGACATTTAAACTAAATACAACTCGTTGTGCAGGATCTAAACATTTACCTAAATATTGCAGATGGCCTCTGAATCAATATTTGCACAGATTGACGACAGTATTATGGCCCGAGTTGACATTGAGGTGGACAAAATCTTTCAGAAATCCATCCTGTCCATGACGTGGTTAATGATTGTTGGCAAACTTTCACCCGAGGATGGTCCAGACATCGAGCTTTTGTCCGACAAGGGGAGAGCCTTCATGGAAAGTAGCTTTTTTGGGGCAGGCATCACTAACGTGTTCCCCATCTTGAGATTCATATTTCCCCATTGGCTGGGCTACAATGTGCAAATGGATTTTTTTACAACGTGCAATAAAATTGCAAAGGTGAGAACGATTTTTGAGATTCGAAAACGTATCGTTTTTCTAAACTTATGACAAAATCGTAAAAAAATTATGAAATTAAAATTCTTGAACCTGTTCGTAATAATTTTTATTATTTTCAGAATCTGTTCTTGGAAGGAAAGGCGAAACAGGATTTACACAGGACTCCAGAAGAGGCAAAAAATTTTGTGGATTTATTTTCACAAAATTGTAACAGTGATCCGAAAACCTTTAATTGTACAAAAATACAGATACATATTTAGTTATGTATGTATTTAGATAATTGATGGTAAATATTTAGCTTACTTAACTTAAATTTTTTCAGGTGAAAACTTCCAACTAATTTTTCAAGACTTACTTCTTGGCAGCACGGATACGACGAGTTCCCACATGGAAGCTGCATTTTTACACCTTGTTACATTTCCAGAAATACAGGAAAAAATTTATCGTGAAATACTCCAGGTTTCAGGGGAAGGAAAACCTCTAAATTTTTCGGATAGGAACTCGTAATCAAAATAATTTACTAAATGTAAGTAAGCATTCTCACAGGTGTGATTTAATTTTACAAATTTTTGTTCAGTATGCCGTATATCCAAGCTTTTCTCCACGAGACGCATCGAATGTCACGAATTGCTCAAAATTTGGGGCCACGTCGAGTCTTGAGAGATCTGAAGTATAAAGAGTTTACAATCAAAAAGGTTGTCCAACAATATATATAAATGCTCTAACAGACCTCTAATTTCAAAAAGTGAAGATGATCCTTAATTCTAAAAATATCAATGTGCAAATTTTTAATTTTTAAACGACCTAGTGCAAAAAAAAGTGCAAAAAATATTATAAACCGACATGTATTTAAATATATAATCGAGCCAACACGATCTAAAAGAAAACTTATGCTTGCACCCATGTCCATTGACAGATTTTTTCATGCACTTAGGTCTTACTAAAATTATAAATCTGCACATGGGACTTCTTAGAATTAAAGGTCTTCTGAATTTAGGTCTTGTCAGAATGACGAGTTGCGTGTTTCTTAAATATGCATTTTTGATTTGGTTGTAAGATATATTTAATTGTGTAGGACACCGTGATTCTTCCAGATACTCGGTTATACTGTGAAGACAAAATAATTTGGCAAGATCCTGAAAATTTTAGACCCGAGCGGTTCAATAATTCTGATGGGGAACTTGTGAATACGGAAAAGATGATTACATTTTCATTTGGTAAGTACTGTTACAGTTAACTAATTGCGAATCAAATTACCCGTAAAGTAAGTTGGATGCTCATTAAGCTGGGGGTAATTGATAACCTAATACCTACATTTGGGACACTGATGTGAAATACCATATGAATTTTTCACAGTCGTAACATGTTAAAATTTCGCAAGATTCGCAATTGCAGAAATATTAAATATTTCTGCAATTAGTATTTATTTGCATTTACAGGTAAACGAGCTTGTCCAGGGGAAAGGCAGGCCAATATTTTGTCCTTTCTTCTACTGACTTCGATACTCCAAAGGTACAAGTTAAGCCTTCCCGAAGGTGAAACTAAACCCAGGCTGGACATGAAACTTGGTTTTTCGCAAAGGCCATACCCCTTCAAGATTCGATGCACTTGGAGGAAGGAATTCGTGAGGGATTATTTGCAGTAACGAAATCGTTAATTATATTAACATAAGCTTAATAACTATGGGAAAATACAGTATGTAACAAAATTGTACATTCAACGACAAATTTTTTATTTCCAATGAAAGATAAAATGAAGGATAAAAAAAACTTATGTCTGGTGATTGTTAGTATTGCACAAAAGTTTCGTCACATTTGATTCCTGCATTCATTTTTTGTAGGTCATAATTGACGGTGTCCATACTAAATAGGTAAGCTTCGGCAGCTGGATTTTAGATTTCTGAATTTCCATCAAAAATTATTCACATGGCATGAAATTAGTGTAATAGAAGAAAAAGTTTGAAAAAAGTTGCCCCCGACCATCCGCTATGGCCATTTTTGTGAGTTTGGGTAGGGGTCCGTAGTACAGAGATTTCTCCGTCATCTTTTGAGTTAGGAAGGTGAAATTTCGGAATCCACACCCTCTTGAGTGTCTCTAGGCGGGATTTTTCGGCGTTAAGGTCTCATGCCCAAGATGACCTTAAAACAGGTCACTTTTCGCCACCTCGATTTTCCCATGTTGTTATAAGTACAACGTCAAGTCTCACATAGCCCCATAAATGGGGTACCGTGAGAAAGGTCTCGGCAAGTGGATTAAGAATATATATAGTTTGTGGGGTCTGTTAGCACCCCCTGAGTATTTTGGCGCCGATGAGTATTATTGACTTTTCGTCGGTATTTTGCTATGTTAAGTCTCAATCTACTGCTGTGTTAAATTTTGTATACCAAAACTTGTAACATTCTTTGGTTTTTGGGAAATCAGGGGGTGTTCCCAGACCCCACAAAGTATATATATTCTGAATCCACTTGCCAAGACCTTTCTAACGATACCCCATTTATGGGGCTACGTGAGACTTGACATTGCACTTATAAAAAGATGGGAAAATCGAGGTGGCTAACAGTGACCCGTTTTAAGGTCATTTTCCACCTAAGACCTAAACGCCGAAAAATGCCGCCTAGAGACACTCAAGACGGTGTAGAATTCGAAACTTCAGCTTCCTAAGTCCAAAGATGACGCAGAAATCTCTGTACTACGAACCCTCCCCAAAACCATAAAAATTACCATAGCGGATGGTTGGGGCAACTTTTTTTCAAAATTTTTCTTCAATTACTCTAATTTCATGGCCTAGGACCTATTTTGGATGGAAATTCAAAAATAAAAAATCCAGCTGCCAAAGCTTACCTATTTAGTATGGACACCGTCAATTACGTGACACTTAACTTAACCGACCAGTTCATAAATTTATATATCCACATACATCTGTACGAATCTTGGCCGTCATCCATTTCAATATATGTACATAAACATGAATGGTAGGGTGAGTTGTAAATGCGTATATCTTTTCCGTACTTTCAACCCCTCAGCCGTGGCAACCCTTTCACAATATATTAGATGGTGACTTTTCCCCCTGCGTACTCTCGTGACTCACTCGGATTTGTTTGATCCAAGTCAATGCACTGGAAAATACGTCAGTATGTACTTATGATTCAGCTGTACCCCAGTATACATTTCTACTTCCTTTGAGATAGCTGACCGGAAGTAAATAAACCTACAGAATACATAGATAGCCATGCAGGACGGCGAGTTGTTGGTAATCCAATTGCTCAAGACATGTCACACTTGTTATGAGACAGAAGAGTTTGTGAGTAAAATTGGAAAAAAGGTTTATCACCTGGTTTGCTTGCTTCACTACATCCCAGAACAAAAGGTACGTTCATAAATATTTAATTCCATATTATTAAAACGAATGCGAACAGTGTAGAACTTGGTGCTAAGTTGTTACCAAATTTAAAAATTTTCCACTTTCACTTGATCATTTTAAGACGGCAGTTTTAATATCGTTAAGAGATATATTCAATAACACCATGTTTTTTCGCACTACAACGAGTTTTAAGTTTAATGGATTAAAATTTTCGTAATTTTTTGTACATGAAGAATCCGTAATAATACTGGGGGGGGTGCATTTGTAGTTTTCGAGATCGGTGCCAAAATGTACGAATTTTTTGCAAAGTTTGAATTTTGCCTCAAACTCATCCAAATTTGGTTTAATATGACTGGAAATGATTTATAAATTTATTTTGAACCAGAACTTGACAAATTCTGACCCCACTTTTCCAACTTGTGTCATTTACTATCGATACTGCTAACGATTAAATACCTATTTTGTATTTTCATCACTGGGTGCAGTACGTCATTGCAAATTCCACCGTTTTCTCAGACCAAGAGAGCAACGTGGGCGAGAAGGTTCAAGTTATCACTATTGACGGCGTGGGAATTGCCAAGCACGGAGCACATTGTTCCATCCGGTGTGATAACGGTGGCCATGGAAAGTTTTATTTGCAGCCCTTAAACGTAAGCTATAGATACAAATACCTATATTATTCATATTCAAATATCTACGTATGCTGTGATTTGAGTGGTTTACTATATTTGCCGCGACACATTGAGACTGGAATATTTTCAAAGCAAAATATAATTGCACGAAATCGGGATACAATTCTTTCAAGTTCTGACTCACAATGGAGGTCTCCCAGCGTATGCCCTCCGATCTGGACCAAACTAGTGTCAAATGATCACAAATATAATCAGGATGAAATTTGCAAATAGAACTATCTGCCAATCCTCAAGTTTAACGGAGATATTTGCATAAAAATGGGAGAAGATGCACCCCCAAGGCTGGCATATTTTACATTTTCCCAATTTACTGTGCATTTTTTCCGCTCTTTATGCAAATATCTCTGCGAAATCTGGCAGATAGTTCCATTTCGTATTAATTATATTTGTGATCGATTGACGCTAGTTTGGTTCAAATCTGTGTGCATACGTTGGGAGACCCCCATTGTCAGAGCAACAAAATTTAATTACAAGTTGTAGAGTGTGGTTACAAAAGATGGAAGCGCGTTTGCAAAGTTAGGATGGTGTGATTTTGTTTTTTATCTGTCACGCGAAAATAAATATAAAATGGAAAAAAATAATCATTAAATATTTTCTTATGGACGAAAAAAATTAAAATAACACCAAGTTTGTAAGCCTAAAAATTATCGATTTTTAGATGCATTAAAATCTCCATATTGTAAAAAACTCACTTAAACTCACTAAAAAACTTAAAAAGGAGGATTAACAGGTTTCAAAATATCCGTTTGAATAAATGGAAGAAATGAAAGTTGAGACATAACAATTCAAACTCAAAACCCGCATATTATACCACCTTAAAATAACAGTAACAAATTACGATTGTAGCTGGTCATCAGTATATTTTACATCCTCCTCTAAATCCAGTTTTTTGATTGCATTCGAAGTTATCACTACGAAAATTTCAATTTTTGACCAATCAAACAGCGGATTGGGAGTAGGAGTTGAGTTAAAGTTGACTTGAATAATGGGGCCAGTGATATATGTTAGTTCTCGAATCATAATTTGTGATTGTTCCAGGGTTACCGTGTTTTTATTAACAAGGAAAAAATTAATGGTCAAAGAAGGCTCAGATTTGGCGACACAATTTTCTTTGGATACATACCTCATGGGCCAGGCATGCAAGGAAGGAGACGGGGACGTAATGCAGGTAGTAAGATTGCCCCGATTTAATTTTTATAAGGTTCTCTAAACTATTTCATTTCTATTAGTGCTTGGATATCACAACCATCACATGACCCTCCTATTTAAGGTTGAATTTTTTAAACATTATTTTATGAAAAAAAAACGCATTCTCATAAACTTAAGCTTTTCTCTAACCGATTGTGCAGAAACGACAACTCATGGAAACTTACATCTTCCGGAGCACTTACATCTCTCGGAGCTTAAAAATACACCGGGGAAATCCTTACACACCTAATCCTGTCATCATTAAACATATTTCTCGTTATTTAGCCGTCCCAGATTTAAAATGTGCGCGTCTCACTTGCAAACTCTGGAACACAGTGGTCGGTCTTATCTTGAGAAAGCGAACACATGCAAGTTTTCATATTTCTGAATTTTACAATGTTCCAACCCAGTCGTTGAGATTCTTCTCTTATGTAGCAGATCGAGTCAACTTACCGAACTTGTACATATTTGTTGAGAGCTTTATCGATCCAAAAACGGAGACTAGATTTTTACAAAATTTTGTATCCTTTGTTGCCCTCAAGGAACATAAATTTACAAAACTTACCCTCCACACCGACATCAACTTGTGTAATGGGAATATGCTCTTTAAAATTTTAGAATTCCTCGCCCCAAACTTAGTCGAGCTCTGTGTAGGTTTATACCTTAGGTCGGAAGAGAATGGAGGTAATGTAACCCTGCCAATGATAACTAACCTTCAATTCCCATTATTGAGGCGCCTAGCAATTTCCGTGTCGTACACAGATGATCCACCCAATGACTCTAATTATCCCTTAATTAAAAGGTGGACCTACGAGTTGATCTCCGTCCTGGCATACAATTCCAACTTGGTGTCGGTGGAGTCACAAGCTGGCCTCATTTTGCACTCAATGGTGGCAATCCCTGTATCACGATGGGCTTGCCTAAACGAAATTATCCTGTCCGCAGTGGGCGAGGGCGACTTGGAAATTCTTGCCCGGTGGCCATACCCCTTGAAGAAATTGAGTCTGGGTGAACTACTTGGAATAATGAAGCCAATATCTTACTCCACCTACGACCCACTTCAGCCCGAAGGTGAACTTGCAACCACTTGTAATAGCGTTATAGCCAAATTTAAGGACATGTTACGGAAAATGTCTGTAACTTTGGAAGAGTTGCAGTTTAAATTAGACGCCCCCTTGTCCCGCACGGGTCCATTTGTATTTATCCGAATCCCCGTAATGCGGTCATTAAGGAAATTAAATATTGAAGCTGATGCAAGGCTTTCGTATGAGGATGGCGAGGGAATTCCTCAAGTAGGCATCAAGTTCTGCGTGGAAAATTGTGGCAGTGAGGAAGAAAGAGATAGTGTCATTTATGCAGAGCAGTTCCCATCTTTGCAGAGTTTAGGACTAAGGCTTAATTTGGGCAGAGGTACGGCTCCACTGTTGGAACAGTTTTTTCCTCAGAATTCAGTTATTTTTAAATCATTGGTGCAACTAGAGATAACCGATGGATTAAGGGATATTGAGGATAAACAGTTTCCCATAATTATGGCAAGGGCTGCAGTAATGTTTCCTAACGTGCATGCCAATCTTCTGGAGAGAGTGAGGATAGAAAATTGCATATAAATAATATGCAGGTCTTGGTTGGTATTAACCATTTGAACGTATTTATTTATGTCTTCTATCCTAAATATCTAATAATTGTTTATTATTACTATTAGCACATAATTATTAGCTCATATTATGAGTGTATGGCAGATTGCACATAATGTTCATACATAGTGGGGAACCCTCAAGTGTTACTGAGATGAAGCTCCATAGACGATTTCCATGAGCTATTGCCGGTGCAAAACATTTTGTTTTATTTCATTGTGTTTTAGCTCAAACACCTGTTCACCTGGATTAAACAATTCGATTTGGTCAGTTTTTTAAATTTTAATGACCCCCTCCTTCTAATGGCATGAGCGAAAGCACTATTTTTTCGACAAAAGTTGTCAACTTTCTCCCTCCATTATGAGGCAACCAAACGCCCCGTGCTGGAAAACTTCGCATGAACATTCCCAAGAGCACACTTTAGGGTCTTTCTGAAACGCTAAGCCCTACCGTCCTCCATGACCTGAAAATGTCATGAGGTCAACTTGCAAAGTTGACTCATCCATCACCATTATTGAAATAGCTCTCATTTCATTAATACTGGACAGATTTTCTTCATATTTGGCAAAACCTGATCTGAGATTGTGTCCGAGACTGTATGTCACCCCGAAATTTTGCAGATTATAAGTTTGAAATTTTACAAGTGAATGTTATCCTCATGCCAATCTTCGCGTTTCGCAGATTGAGTAACATACACAATTTAAGAAAAAAGTTTGCGAGATTTTGCGAGACTTGTGTTGTGCGTCTCCAATATTAGTACGGATTATTCATGTACATAAAATTACACACATTTTAAGCTATCTACTGAACTTGAAAAGCGTACGGGCACGAAAAACCACGATCTCATTGTACATATATCTATTTTAATAAAGTTATGTAAGTTATGCATTTGTATAATAAACATGAGGTAATTGTGTTGTACATATTCCTGCTATTCCTTCTTCCCTATGAATTGCGCCATAAGAATATGACTTCCTGGAAATTGTTATCTCATACAATATTGACCTTTTTTCTTACGCCGCCTTTTATACAGGATTGCAGATGTCCAAGGCTAAATAATGGCGTTCCGCTTCTAACTTTATTGTGTGCACTTTCATACCCACGAACTTTATTGCCATACATAATTTCTCCGCATAATGGGGTCCGCCTTTTAATGCAACGGTTTTTAACCCCTCGCATTCAACTAACAATGCACATGTCAGACATGTTTCGCACGGATCTTCTTAAAACTAGCACTAAAATATCAGGGAACTAAACACAAACAATAGTTAATATCACTTTTGAGCACTTCTGCAGAATTCGCGAAATGGCGAAGGTTTTAAGTTGGCGAAAACGCGTATTTTCATCATGCGAAACTATACGGAATTCACCTCTCCGCTTTCCGATTTTCTTCGTCAGGTCATCCGTTTTCACCTTGACTCAAAATTGAATTAATTAATTTCCAAACCAAGTTCTTATCCGATTTTTAATCTGTGGCTTTTAGATAATTTTTTAACACCTCTTAATATTTTAAATGGATTCAGCTTCTTATACGTCGAAATTATTTTTCAAAATTGGTTCAGTATATTGGATTCGATATTTTTATTTCTTTCGCGTTGCGTGTCTTTAAAGATTTTGATGACCAAAATCTCATGAATTTGTGCCTATCACACATAGGAAACTTGGCATATTTGTTTTTTATGGTCAAATAAGTTTACAAATAAAAATATGCAGTGTGAAAGAAATTTAAAGAAAATCGAATCCACTATTTTGAATACCAATTCTTTAAAAAAAATTCCACTGATGACAACTTAATTTTTGTTTTAAATATTAAGAGGTGTTAAAAAATTATGTAGAAGCCAATATAAAAAACCGGATTAGAACTTGATTTTGAAATTAATTAGTTCAATTTTGAGTGAAGGTGAAAACGGATGACCTAACGAAGAAAAGCGCACGAGAAAATCGGAAAGCGGAGAGGTGAACTCCGTATAGTTTCGCATGGTGAAAATACGCGTTTTCGCCAACTTAAAACCTTCGCCATTTCGCGAATTCTGCAGAAGTGCTCAAATGTGATACTAACTATTGCTTGTGTTTAGTTCCTTGATATTTTAGTGCTAGTTTTAAGAAGATCCGTGCGAAACATGTCTGACATGTGCATTGTAAGGAGGAGAGAATCTCTACATGTCTCTCTCAGATCTTGATGTCTTTTGCATATGTGGTAGCCATATGCGAATGTATGCTAGCCCTAATGTGGTTTGATGCTAAGGCCACATTTTCATCTGCCACACCCCCCCAAAGGTGTGAAAACCACAGAAATTGTCAACTTAAAAAAATCCGCCAAAAATCCAATTTTGCTCGAATTTTGATAAAATTTAAATATTCGTGATCCCCAATACATGTGTGATCATATCGAGTAGCAATCTAAGCATTTTTAAAATTTGGAATTTTTTTGAATAATTCATAAGCAGTGGAATATCTAAAAATTTTGAAAATTTTAAAAAAGTCGAGATTGCTGCTGGATATGATCACACAAGTATCTGGGATCACAAAAATGTAACTTTCATCAAAATCCGCAAAATTGGAATTTTGGAGGATTTCTTAAGTTAGCAATTTTTGTGGTTTTTGAAAGTAAAAATGATCTCGCTGAAAGATATTTTTAGACTGATGGTGATTTTTATTAAACAACTTGGTTTTAAGGTTTTGACAGTACATAGGAGACATTCATACATATGTAATAATATGTGGTCAGAAGTGACCATACAAACTACGCAGAGTTATGCTCAAACGAAGTGTCCCTTCTAATGAGGTATAAAAACAAAAGGACCCTTTTAATCCCTTGTCCTGGGAAAAAGGTTGGAAAATGCTCAGTCCTCATAAAAGTCGACAAACTTAAAAATTGATAAATATGGAAAACTTTGTTAACATGCATATTTTAACATCCTCCCTCAATTTTTAAAGTTCAATATCGGCAGTTTCCACTGGATTTGCCCTAACCGAAATTACATTTGGCCGGCTTTTCAGAAAAAGGAAAACACAAAGACTGGCTTGAGCAACTATTATTAGTATGCAAAGGGTTAAGATCCATTCCATTGTTGACCAGGCTGGTTCATTGCTTGTGTGGTAGTGGATTGACCCTCCTTCGTCAGTGGAACCATTGATCATCAGACTGGTCCAGTTGAAACTAGGCTGCAAGTGCCAGTTGGCTTTCATCGTGAATAGTGGGTCGACTACCTCTTGGTGAACAAGGCTGGATTCAGTTCCTGAAAATTCAATATCATGTATTTTAAAATTAGCATTCATTGGAAGGATGAACACGCTAGCAGGGCATTGTTGCAGCTTCCTCTCAATGGTAATATTGGACCCAGGGCAGTAGATATGATATTGTCCATGGTGTAGTTTGATTTGTACAAAATCCCATGGTTCAGCAAGGTTCTTGTCATAACAGTGGTCTATGTCAAAGTGATTGGAGTTCTTTGTTTTCGCTGTTTGCGTGCATCCTCGAGTGGGCGAAACAATTAGGTCGGGGGTTGTAGGCTCCTTAACATTGATGGAGTATACGCAGTCATCTTTCGTAGAAAGGATGGCATTATGGGGTCCCTTGTACTTTAGAACGCAGGTTTCATTCTTCCTTTCAACTTTGAGACCGAAGGAGTCTGCCTCGATGAGTTGCAAATCTTTGTTAATTTCAGTTGCTGTGAAGTCCACATACAGCTTGGTTCTGTCATCTGATATTTCGCACTTTTGAGATTGTGCGAAGCTGACTATCATGAGGCGACTGGTAAGGTAGGCAATTGCGAAATTGGTGTCAATGGATTTGAGTTCGTCGTGATCAAGCTGATGTAGCTGAAGCTGTTCTAGTGTAGCATTTAGGCTAACCTTAAGCTTCTCAATCTCTCTTTCCGATATTTCCACGCGACGTTCCAATTCATCCAGCATCTCTCTTTGTTCCGCTACTGTTCCTTGCAAAGCAGAGATTCTTCCAGTTTGAACAAACGAATTGATTGCTCCACCAACTGATAAGCCGGCTACAAGGACAGTCACACCAATTATTACTCCAACTGCAAGTAATGGGAGGACTCTCTTCACGTATTTCCAAGTCCCATTTTTCTTATGACTTTCAATCTCATCTTGCATTGCCTTTATCCATTCTTCCTTCTCTTTAGACTCAACGGCTTCTTTATAAGTTGAAGGTTCTTTGTCTGCATAAATGGCATGAGCTTGATATCTATCTGGTTTCTTAATTTTAGCTCTGTCTCTTAAATTGCGAGTGGTTCCTGATTTTTTACTTGTTTCAGGCAAGACAACACGTGTCGTCCCTTGCGATGGAATGCGAGCCGTGTAGTCTCCTTTTTCAGTTTTAACTTGGACTTCTAATTCGTCACCCATTTTCTCGTTGTCAGGTTGTACTGGCTGTGGGTCAACTTGATCAGGCTGTGGGTCCTCGGGATCGTATTTCTCCTCGTCCGTCCATTCTGCATCATCTTGTGCATCATCTTGTGCATCATCTTTTGCATCATCTTTTTCAGATTTGGATTCATCAGGTTCATCTCTTTCTTCTTCGCCATGTATCATTACTGTCGGTTCAAAAGCTTCTTCGTGGAAAGATACATTTCTTGCCTCAACCACTTGTCCGGACTCAGGGTCGTAAAGACGATATTTCTTGCTCTCTGATGCATACCCACACAGGATAAGTCGCTCTCCCTTTGCTCCCCAGACCGTCCTTTTCTGGGCTGGTATATGTGCAAATGCTACGCTACCAAAGACTCTCAAATGACGGAGTGAAGGTTTCTTGCCAAATATTGCCTCAAATGCGGTTATATTTGGACTTTGCTTGTCCAGTATTCGGTTGTGGACGTAGACGGTGGTGGCAACGGCTTCAGCCCATAAAGATTCGGGTAATTTAGCTGCCAGCAGAATAGTTCGAGCACAGTCTTTTAAAGTTCTTATTTCACGTTCGGACCTCCCATTCATTTCTGGATTGTAGCTGACGGTTGTTTCATGAATTATTCCCCGGTCTCTGAAGTATGATGCCAAAGTAGAATTACAGAATTCTCCACCATTGTCTGAACGGCATATCTTGACCTTTCTTCCTGTTTGATTTTCCATAAATTCAATGTAGCATTTGATACGATCCTTGGCTTCGTCTTTGCTCTTGAGAAAATATACAGTGCGGAAGCCAGTAGCATCGTCTTTCAAGAGTAAGAAATATTGAGCTCCTCCCAGGGATGCAACAGACATTTTTCCGGCTAAGTCCATATGGACCATTTCTCCTGGTTTTATCGTTGCATTTCTTGTTGCGGCTGGAAATGGCTTTCGAGATTGCTTCCCAATCTCACAGTCTTCACACATAATTTTATGTAACACGGCCTCCAGGTCAATTCCACGAACTGCGTCTTTCTTGATGGAGTCCACCACATAGTTCATATTAATGTGTGTCAAGCGTTGATGCCATAGTTTAGCATTAGTCACGGGATGCATGTATGCAATTATGCAGCAATAATTTGTGAAGTGGGACGAAACTTCATGACATACATATCATTCTTGAACTCGGCAATTGGCCCCTTAAACCGTCCATCCTGATAAAATGTTGCTCCATTCTTGTCACGGATGATGGAGTACCCTTTCTTAGCCATTGATCCCTCAGAAAAAAGGTTGACAGCCCCTTGTATGTACAACACGTTATCTATGGTGCATTCCTCCCATATGCCGTTGATGTAAGCGTCAAGTGTCACTGTCCCTTTTCCTAGTGCTTGTGTAGCCCTTTTGTCCGTTAGGAAGACTGACTTGGGAGTGTCAAACTCTTCATATCTTGTAAACCATGCCTTATCTCCACAGACATGCTGGTTAGCTCCAGAATCGCTTAGCCACACTTGTTCAGTCACGGGTGCTTGCATGGGGGTTTGTATTGCATTTAGCATGAACGCTTTCCCAGGGCTTCTATTGGCTTGTGCGGGATTATCTGAAGGTTTATTGCTCTGATTTTGTGGATTACTCCTGCATTCCCTTTTCCAGTGGCCCTTTTTCCCACACCCATGGCAGGTTGTTGCCTTTTTCAACTCTTCAATGCTCTGTTTCTTCTTGCCTTTCTTCTGGTCATGGGTCAAGAATGCCTTTGCTGCATCTTGATTGGTTGCTGCTGGTTTGGATTCCTTCCTCTCCAACTCCTCCTTCTTCAGACGGGCAAGTAGCATTATCATGCTCTGGTCCTTATCCGGAACGCTGTCCCATGCCTTTTTGAAGGCATTATACTCCTCGTCGGGGAGACTTGAGACAACCTTTGTGATAATGGATGCTTCAGGCATGACGACTCCCATTTCATTTAGTCTTCTGCCCAGCTCTTCCACCTCTGCAAATGCTTCAATGACTGACTCTTGCCAATTTTGTAATTGAAGAATCTAGCCATGGTATGTTGCTTGTTAAGCGAGCTTGAATCTGAATTGATGCTTTTCAGCTTGTCAAACATTGCTTTTGATGTAGCGCAGTCATAAATATGATTTGTTTGAGTGGCACTGAGAGTGGGGACAATGATGGATTGTGCTTGTATATCCTTCTTATCCCATGCTGGCTGTTGTGCTTCATCTGCAGGTCGTTGGGTAGTGCCGTTGACCACTTCCCACAGGGACAAAACTTTGTTAACATGCATATTTTAACAGTTTTCGCATCATTGAGGGGGCATGGCCGGCGTAAATGTGGCCATGGCATCAAACTACAATAGGGTTATCTTATCAAATATCCAAGGGGCATCAAAATTTGAGAAGGGCATGTAGAGCGTCTCTCCTCGTAAACAAAAGCGACAGTAACAAAGGATTCTTTGGGTAGACTTCTGACTTGTAACTTTTTTCAACCTTTTCTTTTAATGCAATAGAACCAACCATTACGGATCGCTTCAGTGAAGACCAATAAAACCGGTATATCAATACTCGTGTAAAAAAGGCAGCGTAATTTTGGGTAAACCAAGGCTGGAATGTGGTGTCAGCTTTCCCATCAGCTTTAGCGACCCACATATTTCCATCTGCCCAGCAAGTAAGACTATTTAAGGCTTTGTCTCACGAGACGAGGAGAAATTGGTGTTGGGGTATTTTCCCAGTCTCAACCTTCCCTCTAGCTTTGCAGAATACATTGAATCACCCATCTGGAAACTTCGCATCGACCCTGTGGGGGTGGCGGGGGAGGAGTCGACATCAAGGTTCATAATGGTGGAATGTGTTGCATTTTTCCAAAAAATTGAAAAAACAAAAAAGCAAAAATTTGAAAAAATACAATCAAACGAACAAAGAAAAATGCAACACATTCCACTATTATGAACCCTGATGTCGACTCCCCCCAGGGTCGATACGAAGTTTTGACATTGGTGATTCAATGTATTCTGCAAAGCTGGAGGGAAGGTTGAGACTGGGAAAATGCCCCAACACCGATTTCTCCTCCTCTCGTCAGGGACACGGTTAAGTTGCCTTTATTCAACCACACGACCACATTATCACACCGACAGTCACCAAGGCACGAACCTCAAACAGCACGGGGATAACTTTTTACTTACCAGTCACCCAGATTTTACGAGGTTGAGATCGAAAATTTGGTAAAACTAGTGCAAAGTTCTGGAAATTTATGTGTTTGTGCAACCAGTTTAAAGTAGAGAACAAACTTTGGTCACGAAATAAGGATTGATAAATATTTCCCTACTCTGTAATCAAGTCAACGACGATATTTTCACTGGCACATTGTTTGCGTAAGTATCTGAATATTTTCATAAATAATTTTATCTATTCTGGGGAAATCAGCAGGTCGTTCATCGAATTATCAATATGAAATCTAAAATAAAAGTTAAATCTGCAAGCATCTACACGCTCAAATATATTACGTACAGTTTTATATCAAATTTAGAGGCAGAGACGTGAGATTTTTAGCATAAGCACCAAACGTCAAAGGACAAGACGATTTCAAATATGCACGCTGTAGTTCACACCCTTCAAGGTCAAACGGTCATGAAATGTCATCTAAAATATAGTTTGTATACATATGCCAATTTGAACTTAAATTAAACCCGAATTCAATGGTGACCTCCATTTTAACCTTAAAGTTCACAAAAGGTGACATAATGGCCATTGAGAGTTAAATTTGATAAATTGGTCATAATTGTTGAAAAAACATTCGGCATTTAAATTTTAAGAGATTTGAACGGAAAAACACAATATTATGGTGTTCAGGTTGAGGACACCACACTACTTTCACCCCTTGGTTACATTCGCTTTGATAAACATAAAACGCGAAAATCGATATAACTTTTTAACGGTGAAACATTTTGTAAATATCTTGGCGGTATCATGAACTAATAATCAGTAGACACAAACAACCACACCCACTTCCTGCCAAGGGGATGTGGAATTGAGGCAAAATGAGAAAACATGCTAGTTTCATCCCTTGGTTACATGCGTTTGTAGCTGTCTTTCTATTTTCGCATCCCATTTTTATATACATACTCATTTCGTAATTTTATATTTATTTCAATAATACTTTACTGCCTTCTTTCAGATAACGGAATTCTGTGTAGAAAATGAACCCACCCAACAAACAATGGACTATCGAATCCCTGCATCCGTCGCAGATGGCTGACGAAGACAAAGAGAAGCTAGCGGACATGGAAGGCCAGTTTTCTAAGTGGGACGTGGATCCCAAATGGGCCAATTTGTTAAGGTACATATTTTGTTTACTCTATGATTTTGTTCGTTTAATAACATATTGATTGAGTTGTTACGACTGACATTCATGAAGCATAACAGACAAACTATACATATGTACAACCTTAAGAAAATCTGGTTTAAATATTTTCGACATGGACACATTTGCACCCGGTGTAAAATTTCCTAAAGCTGGGGCAAAATGACGCAAAGTATATCAGAGGTCGACGCCGACAAATTTTCATCAGCGTAGGGAGCGCGGCGCGCCGTCGCAATGCTAAAGGAGTAGGAACTCTAATTTGTCGGCTGCTGCGGCGCGTAAAATAAACCGGCGTTCGGTGACGCGGCGGCGTACGATCGGCGGCGTCGACCTCTGAAGTTTATGTGGTTACACCGTAAACGTTTTCCTAAAATTTTTTAACTACTGTTCGTCCACTATTAATAGTCGCAATTTCTTGGAAAATTTTCTGAGAGGTTATTTGGTTGCTAATTGAAAAATAAATAATCTGCCAGGTAACCTTTCATAATTTTTTGCGACTAATAATACTGGATGAACAGTAGGCATAATTATTTATGATCTCCAAGCCACATTTTCACAACTACATATAATAAATTAACTTTCCTTTATATATTTTAACTAACAGCCAATTTAAGAAGGACTCCATCGTTTCCTGCGGTAACTGCGGCCTTAATGAGACCGAGCTTGGCGGCGGGGTGAAACTGAAACGATGCTCAAGGTGCAAGCTGATCGGTTACTGTTCCGCCTCGTGTCAAAGAGAAGACTGGGAAAGTAAACACCGACAAACCTGCTGTGTTCCCCGTCTCTCCGGTGAGGCCCAAGTACAATACGACGCCGCTTTGAACAACCTCTGTCAAACATTTGGCCAGCAGTTGGACTCCAGAAAAGGGAAGCAACCACAAAATGCACCTGAAACGAAGGTAATAGCACTGAACCTTATCATTTACACTCTAAGAAACCCGGTAACAAAGTTATTACCAGGCGGAGTATCTATGTGACTCTACGGCATGGTAATTAATGTATTATTGAGTGGTAGAAAATTAGTTACCAACTGGGAATATTTTCAAATTTCGCGACCGGGGTTATTACCGGTTTAGTAACAAAATGTCTACCACTCAGTAATTAATTAATTACCATGCGGTAGAGTCACATAGATATTCTGCCTGGTAATTACTTAGTTACCGGGTTTCTTAGAGTGTATATTATTCAATTTTGCACGTAATAACGAAATCATGTAACAGAATTGCATAAGGACCATTTTATAATATGTTCTAGATAATGCACGCAATTCAAATACAGGATGCAACCCATCCAAGGTCGACGGTGAACCCTGATTTGTTACGAATGCACAGACTTAAGGATCCAACTTGGAAAGTTATTTGTCTGACAATTACAGTATGCCGGAGCTATCCCAGGTATTGATTAATAGTACTCTCCCTGCATAGGTAGCTTCACATGTGCATCGGGTACAATTGGTTATTGCTTTGAATGCACTTTCATCCCACATAAAACCCAACAGCATGAGGGCTATCCATATATTATGTCATCAAAAATTCAACGTAAACATTAAGGGATAGGGAATTTTAACATGAGACAGGTAGGAAGACCTAAACCATCCACCCACTAAAATTATGACGTAATATATGGACGAGATTTGACTTAAATTAAATTAATAAAATTTATAATTTAACGCGCCACTTATTTAGCTGAAATTAACCACTTGATAAGATGAGACCTCCCACCGGCTGAACTTCCCACTATTTATGATGAACCACTTAATTAGCTAGTGGTTGCCACTTAATTAGATTAGGATTGATCAATACAAACTTATTATTCTAACAGTCGGTTTTTACATGAAAATTAATACGCGTCCAATACCAAATGCTGATACTTCTATCTTTCCGATGCATAAATCACACTATAATTATTTGTATTTACCCCTTAGATGGGTTAACATCGGGCTCACACCGGAAGTCAAACCCTACACGCTTCCGCTCGCAATTCTTCTCGAACGGCGTAACCCTGACGCCAAAGTAATTTGGATCCTCGACCCAACCAACGCACATTTTCACGAGGACCCCACAATTCCATGGAAGTCGAAAATATTCGTAGATGTCGGAGAGGAGCTGATGGCAAATGTGGGCTACATGACGACGTGCGTATGTTCTTCCGGTAAAGGTCAAACCTGCACCTGCGCGGAGGGCTGGAGGATTGACTTCATTCGATGTAAAGAACTGCCCCTCCACAAATGTAGTTATCCCGCAATCGTCGACCTGGAATACCCAAAAGATGCCGGGACATCCTTGATTTATCATTTTAAACAATTTTTAAATAACGAAGGATTCCTGGAAGGACAGAAGGAGGCTGTGCAAACTTACTTTACGGGGGACATATTAGATCAAACGTATAACGAAGTGATGGCAACCGTCGGGAAGGATAAGAAGGGCAATGGCGCGGCGAAGATACCGGTGTTCGAGTATGTGAAAAGTTCAAATATTTACTACATTCAAATTTGTCAAATCAACACCGCCGATGTCAATGTATGACTTAACCGCCTTGGTTACAATTTTGATTCCGAGTGGTAATGAAATTTTTCCGTCGGGTCGTAACATTATAACTAGCGGTATAAACGTCATCATAACTCGGATTCAACATTTTAACCAAGGCGGTTAAGTCATATATTTATTGACACGAGCGGATTTGACAAATTTTTGTTTGGAGTGTAATTTAATTTCTCTCCAAAATCACTTTAGTGACCCTCCTAATAACGCAGTTGTCACCTCTTAAAGTGATAGATTTTCCCTGATGTTAATTTTAATAAGATTATAAGCTCTTTTGAACAACTTTTAATGTTTTTAATTAAAAATATAGATCAGCCAAATTGTCATCCGTTGACAACTGCGCCATGTGTGGAAAGCACAATGCCGGATTGAAGGCAGGGCTGAAACGATGCGCCCGATGCAAGAAGGTCCGATACTGTTCGTATGACTGTCAGAAGTGGGATTGGCGAAGACACAAAAGCTCCTGCATTCCAGCCCCGGCAAATTTGGGGGATGGCGTGGGTCTCCTGCCACCCGTAACTGTTGGTTATAATGACGGGATTACCTTCGAATATAGAGGAATGGAGAAAATACCCAAATTACAGAAACGCAAAGCGAAAAATTAAATTATTTGTGTGGCAGGAAATCAGGTCTAGATACAATTGTTCGCAAATAATTGTAACGTCCTTCCACCGTATGTACAAAATGTTGATGATTATTTGCCTTAATTTTAAATATTTTTCCAGGCAAAACCTCGGTTTTAAAAAATTTCATAATTTTTCGAATTTTTACGCGAATTCAAAAATTTGAATCTCTTCAGAATGACTTATCTGACTTATCAAAAATTCCATTGTCGTGAAATTCGAATTTTAGAATTTTTTGGTTGCTTTTGAAATTTTGCAAATGTACGAACCCCTACATATAGAGTTTTATATTTTCTAAAAATTTGCAATTGGATTTTTAATACATCAAGTACATGTATTTGAACAGACATGTTTTCGAATTTTTGAATTCGTGCTCAAATTCTAAAAGTTGTGGAATATTTTAAAATCGAGGTTTTGGCTGGAAAAATGTTTAACGCGCGCGCTCAATTTAGCGCATTATGAAAAATGCAAAAATACAGGTATATAGGCTTATTTTTTGTGCTGAACAAAATAAAAGTTCTCTCAATAAAATCTGACTTGTACAAGTGGAAGACTTGCATTGTGAGTGGATATCACCAAAATTTTGTCATCATTTCCTAAAAGTGACCATTGTTTTTGTGTACTCTTCATTAGATTAAATGCTATTTTATTATTATTTCGACATTTCGACATATTCAGTTGTTTCATTATTAACAATTTTTAATAATTATCGAGATCTTGATAAATCTATAATCTATGTATGGAATTTTTATCCCAATAAAATCTAATGCATTCACGGTTGAATAAACAGTAATTATAGTATGGTAGCCTTCTATTAAAAAATCAAATTCATATAGAAAAGATAAGTGTATATAATTTTGCCTTGTAATAAAATAAATTTAAATGATGAACCGTATTAGAACTCAATAAAATTATTACATCTATATTAGAATTTAAGAATGTAACTCTGCCAGATGACGTCTGGTGCATATTTCATCACAAACACGTTCTTTATTTATTTCATTATTTATTTTTTCATAAATACTCTGACAATGCGACGGTGTGAGGTGGTTATCGCCGATATCCACCGGACTGATTTTACATTGTTCACCTTCAAAAATAAGTGGACCCGTATTTTTTCGTTTTCCTGAATGGGCATGTTTACGCCCTTGGCGGAGTTTTCAAAAAAAAATTCAACCAAAATTCGGATTTTTAAAAACGCTGTAACTTTTCGAATTTTAACCCGATTTCAAAAAATAAACCCAATTTGTGTTCAGGAATACATCCCTGAAAATATAAAAATTCATTTTTTTAAATTTTAAAAATTTGATATTTTCATGCTATTTCTGAATTTTTATAAACCCAAAAAACGATAATTTTTTGAAAATTCAAAGTTTTTTAAAGCTGAATTTTTATATTTTCAGGCATGTAATTATGTAATTATGTAATTCTGAACAAAAAATGGGTTTATTTTTTGAAATTGGGTTAAAATTCGAAAAGTTACAGCGTTTTTAAAAATCCGAATTTCGGCTGATTTTTTTTTTGAAAATTCCGCCAAGGGCGTAAACATGCCCATTCAGGAAAACGAAAAAATATGGGTTTACTTATTTTTTAACGTGAACAATTTAAAATTAGTCCGGTGGATATCGGCGATAACCACCTCACACCTCCCCATTGTGAGTTACAATTGGTGCCAAACCATATGAGAGGAAAAATTGCTAAATATAAATATGTATACGTTAAGGTTATGGATTGACTTATGATTAATTTATGTATGAGTCTGAGTCAAGTTTCTTGCAGGTAAGTAAGCAGACAAATCCTTGTCATCCATGTACAAATGACTGCGATGAATATGAAGCTTCCATGCCACTGTCATGAACGTCATCCCATTTATTTACATAAGTAGCATTCTCCTTTTAATTAAGATATGTGTATTTATATAAGAACATGCTGACTGGAAATTTCCACATGAACGTACACTTTAATCAAGATGGTGTTGAATCATCACCGAACGGAGTTACTAAGGTAACAATGGGCATTATCGTATACTTTTGAACTGCACCGCTATGGTATAATGAAAATTTACTCATCAGAATCGGGAGGAAGTTATTCTCAAATATGTACCAGCACGAGGTGTATTTGTGCCTTCACATTTTTAAAAGCGTAGGATTAAATTCTCAAAGAATTATGTTACTTCTCAAAAGGGCATCATTATTTTTAGGAGTTTAAGGAGGTTTTTTGTACTATATGTAAAATTACGCATAACTTGATTGAATTTGATGACCATGCATATGTGTGACCACTGCTGAATAAATATAGCATTCTCATTATTTTTAAAATAAATATGTAATATTCGTACTCTGGTAATAACAGATCACACATCCTGGCTTAGCTAAAATACATACGCAATTGTCACAATTTACCTATTTCTTAAAATTGTTTCTATACGTATCAGCCTTATTTACTTCAATAATTGTACAATTCTATTTATTACGCATAACATAAATTACAAATCTTCTCCCCAATCAAAACTGCTACTACTACCACCAATTTAGAAATGCGAGCAAAATTCCGTAAAATAAACTCACAACGGAGGTCTCCCAACGAATGCTCCCAGATTTGGACCAAACTAGCGTCAATCGATCGCAAATATAATTAGTATGAAATTTGCAAATGAAACTATCTACCAATGCGCGGTTTTGGTGGAGATATTTGCATCCAACGCGGGACAAATACGCAGCAAATTTGGAAAGTGAAAAATTTGCCAGCCTTCTGGTACGTTTTCTCCTCTGTTTATGCAAATATTTTCCATAAACTTGAGCATTGGCAGATTGTGCCATTTTCAAATTTCGTACTAATTATATTTGTGATCAATTGACACTAATTTGGTTAAAATCTGTGAGCATACGTTGGGAGACTCCCATTGGCAGCCAGCTTGTATTTGATCTAAAACTTAAATCAGAAGGATTTGTGATGATTCTCTTACATACATATATAACTTCCTTATTTAAACACTTGAACTTCAATAGTATTTGGTACAGATAATATGCTTACGCACTTTTCCCCCACAAAAACTACTACCCCTATCCCCAAACAACTTCCACAGATGAGAAACAAGCTGCCCAAATTATTAAGCTGTATTAAATCCTCCCATTTCAAAATTTCCGTTTCGTCCACGAATATTCTTCGTCGACGCAGCATTCTCCTTGTAACCCGCTTGTTTCTTCTGACAAACAAATTGCTCCATGTTCTCACCCAGAAATTGTAAATCCCACCATCGCGAATGCCCCCAAGAAAATTAATTACTTCAACCCGCACGCTGATATGGGCCAAATCATAGCTGTGCGTCCTCAAAAAAGTTTCCGGAACAAATTTACACGTCATATTCCCATATGAGTTTTCCATATCTAAGATTGAACTGCTCAATTCTTGGTTATCTGAATGATGCGACGCATCGGTCATGACTTTCAGGCTTCGATTATACATCACATCTTTTTTCTCTTTCTGGTTTGGAACATGGTATAAATGGTTCTTATTTTGCATCCAACCCAAAATCCCTAGTTTCTTAAAATCGTAGGCGTAAATATTGAGGAATTTGTTATGAGAATTTGTTATGCTAATTGAGCCATTTCCTACGGCACGGTAAAAAGCGATTTTGTACCCGCTCTTCAGCAATGAAACAAACCCCGGGTTGTTTTCAATCTTGACCGGAACCACGACCATACTCGTGAAGTAGGTCTCGTACACCGCTAAGGTTAAAATCATGGTGAGATGAATGACCCATTTTAGCCCGGACTGCGTCCCGCTCACCTGTCTCAATATAATCCCGATCATAATAAACAAATTCGTGATTAAAGACATTTTTAAATTGCTCAGAAACACGAATACTTCCGTGTTATAGTCGAATGTAGTAATTGCCATTGTGGAGGCCACCATGACCAGGAATAGTACGATCCAGACAGGCCACCTGTATGGAGTTATCCACGCCCAAAATTGCATTTTCCCTGATTTCGCAGACTTCCTAAATTCGCAATATCTGAACCGTGATACGATAGCCTGTTTGAGGTTGAGACTTCCGGTCGCATTCCGTACTGCTGAACCGCTTGGCAATATCGTGTTTAAATTGAGTTAGCCACATTTAATATCAGAGAAGCTCGTAATACGTCGGAACGTAGCATTTAATTGGGATGATAGAAAGTCTTGAACCATCTGGTTTGGATGACAAGGGTTCTTGGGGATCCTCCAGATGGCGTATTCACATCCAGAAAATCGTCGAAATATCGTGGGCGTGGTGTGGACATTAAAGACGCTCTTTTTAGGGTCAAGCCTGTCTCTAAAGGTTAGATGATTTATTCGTACAATTTCCGACATTTTTGCCTCCGCCTGGACACGAATCCAAGTGTTTCCAGAACAAAGATAACAATGAAAGCTCCAGTCGATATTCGTAGCTTTGCAATTAGATAAGATAACCGCGAGAGAAAATATTCGGACTGAGATCATTTTGTATTTACACCCTGCTAATTTTGGAGGGGAAGATTGCCCTGGACGGAGCAGAATTATCGAGGACGCATAATCCGAACGATACGCGAATGTGCTGGTAAAAATGGACTTTTCGATTTTCGCCCAGTCTACCTTACTTTTTAGAACGAAAATAACGTAAATAGTGCATTTTTCGAGTGGTTCGGTCTCTTCTATTTTACTGGGATATTTAGTAACAATTCTAATCATCAAGACGGACAGCCTATTAGCTTCCAGGACTTGGTCTACCAGATCGCCAAGGATTTGAGGTTTGGGCCCGAAATGGTTCAAACTTATTAAACAAGGGCCAAAATCTTGCAAGTCCAGGGTATAACGTGCATCAGTTATGTAGATAAGTAAGAACAGTACTAATATCGTGGGAATATTGAATTTGTAACTCATTTTTCAAGATTTATTCGTTTTGAACACTGGTGTCAAACCACTACTAACTGAAGTACATACGGAAATGACCCAACCTACACAGTATTAATCAGCGTTACGGGTAAGTAATGTTGTCGCTATGAAAAATTTACCACTGCCACCAATAATGCAGGAGATTATTACCAAAGCAATACCAGTACGGAGAATAAATGTTCATAAATGTATATACTTTATGTAACTGTACCAATGTGATGTGTAGAGCATATTTGTCGGAAAGTTATTAAGCCCGACGTTTGAAGTTGGCTTGTAAAAACTAAAATAGCCCCACAATTCCAGACATGACGGTCATAGTACTGGTTACATATACTAGTGACATATCATGCAATACCTGAGTACGCGGCTTACCTCTTCTTCAAGGATAAATTGCTAAATATACACGTAAAGGTTATGGATAGACTTATCAATTGCTAAATAATGCATAAGTGGAGTTTACCATAAGTAAGGGGACCAATGCCCGTCACCCATAACTATAACATTGCAAAGAATATGGAACTTTCATGTCACTTTTTAAGAACATGATCCTACTTACATAAGCAATATTCTCCATTTAATTTCAATATATGCATTTATATAAGTTGTTGCATGTAAATTCCTACTGTACGTTTATAAGTGAACACTCTTAACAAAATGGTGCTGAATCATATATGTATGACTTCACTGGCACGATAGCAAAGGACATTATCGTATATTCATGAATTGCACTGGTGTAGCAATGGAAATTTACCAATCTGCATCAAACTATGTACATATTACCAATTCGAGAAAAAGTTATTCTCAAATATTTGCCTGCACGGTGTGCATGTGATGAGTCTTCACCACATTTTCTACAGTGCACAATAAACGGATTCCGTCATAGCTTTATTTTGGAAAATTATTCCTAATAAGCTCATATTCCTTTTAGTACATGCATGAACCATGTAGCATGGAAAAATACGAAATTAATATTTCAGTTTTTCATCTTCAACAATTTTCGCCATCAGGTACTTTCATGATAATTTGTTTTCGCATTTTGGCGAAAATTTATATTCGCTGTACATAACCCGATTTAATATGCTGTACATAGGGACATATTTGCGTATGCGTCTAACAGAATGTCTTATCCTTCTTGCACCGTGAGGTTTACATATGTACCACGTGCCGGTTTTTTTATTTAATTAGCTTCCTCAACTTGCATTTGGAAAATCCAAGATTGATTTCACAATAATTTAATAAGCGGTTTGACTTGACTACAAATTGATGCTCGTGCAACTTTACCCTGTCTGCAATTAAATGAGCAATAAAAACTAAACGGATGATGTGCTGATAAATAAATACATACGTATTAAGTAGTCGGTCGTTTGAGAAGCGAGTTAATAGTTTTTATCAGACTGCACGCAGCTTTTTTATAAGTTTCTTATTTATGTATTTATGTATGTACATTAAGGAAAATGTTTTAGATCTCTTAAAGTAAATACGTATTTCTCACAATGAGGAAATTTATCTACTTGAAAATAATCCACTTAGTTAAACGTAATTAATTACTTTTATGGGGTGGTGTACTAATTTTCGTGTGATATGTATGGTAGTTTCCAGTTGAAGAACGACCACACGTGTAAATATTTCCCCACAAAAAAATTGACTGGAATTTTATTTGTAAACTAATTGAAAACATTACGATTCCAATAATTTGCGTTAAATTACAGAAGTATTAAACGAGTCGAAAGCGAACTTTAGTTTCAAATGGAGGTCTCCCAGCGTATCCTCCCAGCTTGCGTAACTCAATTAATGAGTGACACAAGCTTTAAAATCAGTATTAAATTTGCAATGAACACGACCTCCTAATGCGCATATTTGTCAGAGATATTGGAATCCAAATAGGAGAAAACAAGAAGCAGTTTGGAAAGTGTCAAGTTAGTCAAATTTAAATAGGATACATTTTCTCCACTTTGGGTGCGAGCAAACATATCTGCCAATAAACGTGCCGATTGAAAGATCGTGTTTTTCAAAATTGCAAATTAATTAAGCTTGAAACTCTGTAATTTGGTCAAAATCTGTAAGCCCACGTTGGGAGACCTCCATTACCAGTGTACTTTACTATTACGTGATAAACTATTAATTAAAAGCATCCACTTCATGACACGAGATACCTGCTCCTCACAAACTGCTACATACATACATACACATGCACACTATGGGAAACATTTTTTATCGAGCTACACACTTGCATACCTGTTCTCTCCGTACGAATAAAAGCCTCACCAACGCAATCATGTGCACCTTTCCATGTGAAAAATCGTAGCACGGACTCATTTACCCTACAACAAGAATAATCCGTATGCAAATGTTCATCACCCAAGGTTAAGGAATGGAATAAATGTGTGTGCGTTTTGCTCCAATTCATTTTGGGTAGTATTGTTTTAGAAAACAACCAATTCTGCATCTTACCTTAGGTTATATTAATATTACCCTTGCAGCACTCAAAACCACTCCTGGTTCATACCTGGCGAAAAATATTTGCTGAAAACGAGTTTATTCTTTCATCATGGACAAACTGAGACCTTTATTGATCGGATTGTTCGCCCCTTTCTGGTTCTTTGCCCCTTTCGCGTTGTTGGGTTGGCTGCCGTTCTATATTTTTAGAACTTTCGTAAAGTTACTGGCACACTGGGTGAGTTATTCAAAATTGTTTTGAATGTAATTAGGATTAAGAAAATAAAATAATTTAGATAATTATTTTTTTACAAAATATTTGAAAAGCTGAAAAATAAGCGAAGTCTTGTAATATGAAAATGAAATTCATTAAATTTTTGAGAACACAATTGAATCAAGTATAAGAAAGAAATTGGACGCCGGAATACAAATTTTGACAGCTTTTCGGGGGAAATTTGGCCCAATAAAAGCTTAATGCATAGCGATTTCGGAACAAATCTATGCAGAATTATGGTCCCGAAGAATTTACAAATTTGAAATTGCAGGATTATGTTAACAAAATTATGCAGAATACAATATGCATTTAAAGTTTTTATCGATTTACGCATGATTCGACAATGATTTCTAGTCGGGGGAATTGAACTTTCATAAAACCTTCGATTATGAGTAAGGCTGGATTACAGTTCGAGTTCGGCTATGCCACTTTCACTATTTTATTACAGGAAGAAAATTATGAAAAAAATTTTGATTTTTTTTAATTATTTTTTTTTCAAAGTGGTTTAATTGTTTGTTTTCTATCTTTAGCTAAGGCCAGACCTGATTTCGATGCTCGCCCCAAAAGATGCGTTCTTCTCATCCGATAGAATCCATACCTGCACCAGGAACTCGCTAGTTGTAAGCATCGAGCTAAAGGGGCAAATAGATCCGAACCATATTCGGAAACTTTTAAACACGAAAATACTCCAGTCAAGGGATCAGAATGGAAATTTGTTGTACCCCGAAATCGGATGGAGCATGAGGCACTGGCTGGGGTTTCCTTTCTGGTCGCAGGCTTCCTTAATTGAGGATAATGTCCGGGTTTCAAGTGAAGGTGGGTACAAAATCCTATCTACACCCTAAAAATAATATTATCCTGCTAGAAAACGGATAATCAAACAGATATTGATTTCGTGATATTAAATTTGCTATCGCTTAGATTAAAATTACTCCGGTCTTCAAAAATTTGTTACCGATACAATTCGAAATTTTAATTCCAAGCTATTTTTACAGCGTGTTATTTACGTATCAATACTATTGTAGTACGATAAATATTTTGCTACCGCTTGGTAGTATTAAGGGGTGAAACCCCTTTATAAGATTGATATGTCCGTCCGTCTGTCCGTCTGTCTGTCCGCCTGTCCGTGCGATAACTCAAGAACAGTTTAACATATTGACTTGAAATTTTGAACATAAATACTTCATATGCAAACAAAGGTCAAGTTCGAAGGTGGACCCTGTAGGTCACCCCCTTCAGGGTCAAAAGGTCACCAAGAGGTCACGTAAGGGTCAAATTGCATGTACGTCAATTTGACATGAAATTTAACCCCGAATTCAATGGTGACCTCCGTATTGACCTCAAAGGTCACGAAAGGTCATTTAGAGGTCACTGAAAGGTCACTAAACGTTATATATGATACATATGTTAATTTTAACTGAAATTTAACCCCGAATTCAATGGTTACCTCCGTATTGACCTCAAAGGTCACCAAAGGTCATTTAGAGGTCACTGAAAGGTCACTAAACGTTATATATGATACATATGTCAATTTTAACTGAAATTTAACCCCGAATTCAATGGTGACCTTCATTTTGACCTCAAAGGTTAAATGACTGTTAAATGACTGTTTGTTAACTGTTAACTGACATCAAATGTTAAATTTTATACATGTGTCACCTCACAAATGTTATAAAGTTCTCGGTTTCACCCCTTCGTTATATGCGTTTAACGGTTTATTTTAATGCTGGATTGCTAAGAGTGTATCTATTAAAAAGTAAATACACTACAATTCCACATTAAATAAACTATGTGAACTACTTAAAATCAGAGCAGACTTTCTTTATCAAGCTAACATTACTCTGAATTTACATTTTTTATTATTTGTATTATTTTTATTTTTTACTTATTTATCCTACATTTGTACTTTTATTGGGGGTGCACATACTTTTTCAAAATATGATTTTTGTGAGTAATATCTCCAAAAATCACGATTTAAAGTAATCTTATTGATAATATTTTCGTCTAAAGATGTTGACCTGAAGCAACTCCAGGCACAATTGGCTGTTCAAGAATATCGCGAAAATGCTCCCTTATGGGAACTTGTCCTGCATACAAATTGCGTACTGCTCCGATGGCACCATTCCCTGTCGGATGGGTATGGAATGCTCCTGCTCCACGAGGAATTGAGGACGCTGGGCACTGCAAAAAAATTGCGACCTGTAGTACCATCAAGGAAATCTATTGGGACATCCTTCCTGCCCTATTTGGCACTGCCGTATGACCTGATTAAGCTATTTGTCGAATTACTTCTAACGGAGTGGTTCCCATTGGATAAAAAAGTACAAGAGTTATGATTAAGATTTAAAGTTTTAAATACTTTCAATGCCCGCCTCTCAGCGTGTGCTCTCTAATTTTGGCCAAATTCGTCGTCTCAGTAGTTCACAATTTAAGTTGAGGCAACAATTGCAAAGAACACCAGGACCAAGAGTTGGCGAAAAAATTGTACATCCAAAGAGAGCAAAATTCTCTCTAAAGTTTTCATTTTCAAAATTTACTCCGCATTTTTCCTCTTCGGATCCAAATATCTCTGTCAATCGTGACCATTGGGATATCGTGTCATTCTCAAATCTCACGTTAACTTAATTTGCGATAAATTGACACCAGTTTGGTCAAAATAGGAGAGTATTTATAAACTGGGAGACCTCAATTGTTAGTTGATTATGTAACTAATTAGTCACAATTTACTTGTGTATTTGTAGAGCTGGACAAAATTCAACGCAAAATCCAGCCCCCTTGAAACCTCTGCTCGTCTCTGCTCCCACACCAGTGAAGCCATCCCATTCAGCGTGATTCGCAAGCTGGGAGTTAAATTCGGCGTGAATGGGACGGCTGTTTTACATTCCGCAATTTTAGGCGGGTTAAGGACCTTCTTTCTCGCCAACGGGAGAAACATTCCGTCCTCCGTGGCCGTAGAGACACCCATTCCCGAGTCGGTGGAGAGGAAGAGAAGATTGGGAAATAATGTGTAAGTTCAGTGGGATAGCGTTATCTGCAATAATTGTATATTTGATTTGGTTGAGTACAAGTCCACCAATTATTATGTTCGAGGCATTAAAATTAAAGCAATTTTGATATAAAGCGTATATGTAAAAATGGCTTTAATCACAATGCCTCGACTCAGCGATGTATATAATTCAGCATTTGTACCGGTTTAAGCATTATTCTTAGTGAGGCAAATACCTAACAACGAAAAAATTACTAAGTATGCATTTGACCCACCCCAAAAAAGTGACCATCTGCGATATCTCAATCATTTTTCAACCGATTTTGATGAAATTTTGCACCGATTATTGTTACATAATATAGAAACGGGATCTGATCCGACTAAGGGATTACGTGATCTTGACCGAAATTATGGGCAAAAATGTAGCCTTAGAAACACATTGGTAATTATTGCTAGTTACTAGCAAACTTTATCAAAAGTTTGATATCCACGAATTGTAGGGCAGTTTATCCCGAAAATTTTAAGTATAAATATATCAAAATCCGTTAAGAATTGGCTTAGTTATTCCAATTTGAAGTTCAGAAATTCCTGCTCGTGCTACGAATCATTGCCATTGACAACGACGCAAGACTAATAAATTGAAAACAAATTACATTCAAAACTGTAAACAGCATAACTAATTGTTTCTGTAACATGCTTGGTAAACTGCGTGAAATTGTTGTTGGTTTTGCACCTCCAGATCAGGTCTTTTGGTGTTTAGTAATCTAGGCCGGACATTTTGACCAAAATGATATAAATCGGTTAAGAAATAACGGATTTATTCAATTTTAAACACCCAGAATTTAATAAAATTATTCCGGATCAAACTACTGAAAAGGGGTAGTGCAATGCAGTCATCCAATGGACAATCTAATTCCCCAATTAAAAGTTATAAATAAACAAGGTCCCTAAAAAGGGGAAATCTTAGTGAGGGAGTGCAATCACAACTAATAAATAAAATTAGATTGGAGAATTTTTGCATCACCGCTCTCGGTACCATTTTTATTACTGGAAGCATTAATCGTTTAAATAGAACACTTGCTCCCTCAAAAGGTTCGATGATTTTGCATAGAGTAGCCAAATTAATATATGAAGTTGAAATTTGTATATTTTTTTAAACAAATACGTAGCTCAGAATTATTTAGCCATTATATCTTACATATCTACCTCAGTTAATTTAACCCACTTCTCGTTCACTACACAGTAAAAATGTATTCCTTCCTCAATTTATTCAATAAAACTAAGAATTCATGCGTATGCAAAGAAAAATTTATACTGCATCCAGTAAAAATGGTATCGAGAGCGGTGATGCAAAAATTCTCCAATCTAATTTTATTTATTAGTTGTGATTGCACTCCCTCACTAAGATTTCCCCTTTTTAGGGACCTTGTTTATTTATATACTGACATTGCACATGTTTCTGAAGTACATATTTTCTTAAAACCAGCGCTAAAATATCAAGTTACTAAATGTGTAAAGGCAACAGTCAGTGTGGAACTTGATCACTTCTTTAAATGTCTGAGGAATGTGCATTGGGTTTACCATCAGAGCCTAGCTTGAGCGACGTGTAACCAAAAGTCGGTTTTCACGTGGAAAGATCATTCTGAGCTTTATTAACAAGCGACAAAATTTGGAACATGTAATTATTACTTTCCAAACGAAATTATTCAGCTTATTATTTTGTTAGACATGTATTCCGCCAAAGCATTTTCAAATAAGTAAGATTTTTAGGAATTTCTAAACTAACATTATGCACATGTCTCTCCAACCACAGAACTCTTCGCTGTTACTCGGCTCCCCTTGGAAGTCTAGATGCTCAAACTAGGCTTCGCTTAGTCCATTCAGGTATCCTGTCCATGAAGAGGTCCACTTTCCCCCTTGCAATGACATTGGCCGTGGCAGCGTTGGGTCACCTTCCTCGCACCTTGTTGAGATTTACCTTCGCCGCGAATGATAAGAGGCAACGGATTTTCATCTCCAATTTGGCCGGGTTTGAAGAGGCGACAGACTTCTGTGGCCATCAGGTCGAAAATATTTCCATGGCGGCGGGAATATATGTAGGAAATGCAGGTATTTACATATATGTAGGGCTTGTGATTAAGGAATGTCCATATATTATCTTATTAAAAAGCTGGATGAGTTGTTATTTTACATTTTTGAAAAGTTTGAGTTGAAAAAGCGTGTTTATCTGCAGGCATTGGGATTACGCTCATTTCGTCCGGGGGTGAATTACGAGTGACAGTACTAGCGGATAGAAATATACTCCATGACGATTTATGTGCGTTGCGGGTGACGGAAAACTTCATGGCAGAGCTGGACTTGTTACGAGCAGCGTGCCCAGACGGGAACAAGGATGACACTTTTACGATATGATACATATGATACGATACGATAAATGTGTGATACGATATGATTTTAGGGTATGATTAAGCAATTAATTTAAATGAAAGAATGTTGAAGAAATAATATATTTTTAGTAACTTGTGGAACTGAATTTCGAGTTTTTGCAACTAATTGTAAGCAATATACTTCTATGATAAATAATTAATAGCTCATTATGAAAATTTCTTAGTACTATTTTTATTTTTGTGTGTAACCCCATATGGAACATATGTAAATTTGTTACTTGATTTGAATTAATGCAAATATCTATCACACGATATATATCACGCTATTTTTTACGAAGTCTAATTTTCGATACCACTTCGCCTTATCAACAACTTTTGCAACAGCGCCTTTCATGGTCAATGTCAAGGTCATCTCCAATAAATATTTTGGCGTAGCTTATGCGTTTGCATTTTCTTTCAATAATTTAATGAACATTTTAACAATCTCAAGATATGTGTGAAATTAATTACGCATATGTAAATATGTACCTAATTAATTGAAACTTTAGTATTCGCATTGTTAAGAAAGTTAAAATGCCTGTTAAAATGCATTTTGAAGTTTTATTACATGATAAAATTAAAACAATATCAAAGCATTTACACTAAGCTCGATGAACATGCTGGACAATCTTACGTTTAAATATTCATTCACGGTTGTAAACACCGTCCCACCGACACCGGTTGGGATTTTAAACACCGATAACCTACCCACGTCTTTTAGGTAACCCTGTTTCACACCAGGTCGCATTCCTAACAAAATTCCCACGCCTTTAAACGATCTTAGCAACTTCTTTGCATTTTTGAAAGCCTCGCCCGATCTACTCAGCACCGTTTTTGCCAACATGAACACAAAAATGCCCCCAGATATTAAGGACACTAGCAAATACAAGGGTAACACATGTCCTAATCGAACCGAAACAAATGTAACCGATACCAGGGCAACGATCGTGACAAACATTTCCAACAACAAAGACACTTTAATGGTATCCTCCATGGCCTGGACAGCCATTTGTAGAATAACATAGTACGAAATATGTTGACGAAATAGCCCAGTGTGAATTCCTCGCATATTCACCGCCAAAATTTTCGCTATGAGCCTCACAATCGTGGTGGCAATACAGACACTAATATAGAGCGATCCAAACACGCATGCCATCACACGTTCGCTTCGTAAAGTGCGACCATCATGATCCAAAATCTTCCTACCACCAGGCAAAATTGTAGAAGGAGGGCGTTATTGAAGGTGGCGGCGCGAACAAGAAAGGCTATCAACGGGAACGTGGTCCTAATATATTCGACGATGTAGAACTGAGGATCGAATCCGAGCACCATTATGATCACAATCCCTACTGGCGTGAAGAGGTATCCGACCCAGACAGAAAGTTTGAGACCTAGCAAAATAAAGACGTCAAGCAGGGTTTCATTTTGACCCTTATAGTTTTGTTGTTTGGTAGCTGAAAATAAGATATATTTCGTTAATAACATTAGTTCATTTACAGGACATATAGAAATTCATGAGACGGGAGTATTTCTATGTACATATATCGAAACACCGCCGTTTTTAGCTTCTTCAAATATAAATATATACATTTTGGAAATTTCATCATGCCCCTCAACAAATTGGCATTGCCATACAATTTATGCCTCTCATAAAATGTGTTAAAAGGTTACCATTTTTTAAATCCACTTCAACCTGGAGCAGCTCATTCGCCCAGAAAATTGTGGCTTGCTTCCCTTCAAGTAGCCACAAGTAATAGACACAAGCGCCACAAATGGAAATAACCGTCATAAACGACCACGCCCAAATTCGTGCATCCATCGATGCCCTTGGCGATTGGGACCCAACGATTAAAATCCCCCACACACACGCGATCACAATTCCCACCAGGATCAAGAAGGGAAACATTGTTTGCACTGCGTGAAATATTCGCTTCACCTCCACCAGATGTAGCCGACCTTTCGTCACGTGGATATAAACTGGAGGTTTATATAGAAATGGATAATGGTCGACGAATAACTTTTGCAATAATAGTGCAAGGCCATAGTGGTCGTCCCTAATTCTTGCAAGGAAGGGATCCAACTTCTTTCTTAACTTATTTTTTGAAGCGAGAGTAACCGTAGCAAGTACGGAATATCCCACTGTTCGGAAATGCATTTTCGTTATAGAAATATTACAAGCTTTATCGTGTTTTCAACATACTGCGATGTACATATTATGGCAGCTTTTAAACCAATACTATTTAGAACAAATATTTAGAAAAACAAATAGTATTTATGTTGAAATGTGAGTAAGAAAGCAGCCAAATTTCGTCAATAATTTCATAAAATATTTAACTCATGCTCAAAGAAATATTAACGAGCAGAAGTTAAACAGGTGGGGCTACGATTTTTATTTATGCACACTTTTCTAAATAAATTTGACAACTATTCACATACTGCTAAAAATGTGTTGAAGTCACATACACAATATATATCTATCATGCTATGTATCTACTTGGGAGAATGTAAGCTCCTATCTGATTGGTAATACAGATAGTTTGGTTGTACATAAGTGGTAAATTTTCATTAAATATTCAAACCGTATTTTTATTACTTTAAGATAATTTCCATTATTATTTACTATGCCAACAAATTCATATTAACACTCCATCCTGCAATGATCCAAAATCACTATGCTAAGAACGCAGAAGTAACGGTATTAGATACTTAAAATGAGAAAGTGATTATATTTGCGAGAGAACTTAGTTCTTGAGTTGAACGTCACCACGTGAAGTAAGGATACATATTAGGAAAGGAATTTGCGTCATAGAAAAATCAATCTTATTGTGTGTTTTTAAAGAATTGCGAAGTACCTAATATGGCAAGTTTTAGGCGACTATCTAATTGAATTAAGTTTTAGATCGATGCTGAGCTTCTTCCAGAAAATTGGACGCTTAGATTAAACTTTTGACCAATTAGATAATTTGATTCGGAATATTAAAGTTGTCTGATGTTCTTTCAGAACGAGAAAAACAAATAATAATTATTTTAAAATGTGATTAATAAGGTAGCCAGGTTTTGTAAATAAGGTCATAAAATATTTAACTCTTACTCAAACGATATGAGAGAAATTAAATTAAGTAGAAATTAAGCAGTCTCACGATTTTAATGTTAATTGTCTAAATAAATACGACAACGTTACATACTGATGGCAATTTTATCTGCGAATATTTCTAACTTGCATGCATTCTACATTACTTATCCTGCCTTTGCCGTCTAAAATGGCAGAGTTTAGAAATAATTTAAACCGCAAAATTTAATTAACAAGGCCAATTGCCAAACGCGTCGTCAAATATAGCCTACATATTTAGATATTTAAATAAGTAGTTTTCAAAAGCGGCGAAATCAAACAAATGTTTTTCCAAAGCGGTGAATTCGAACAAATGTCTAAACCTCTTTGTAACATCGATTTCGTTAAGCATTAAACAGCAAGTTTTCGAATTAAGATAACTTTGAAAAGATATTGGATACTCTTATTTATTTATTACTTTTAGGGTTAAATACATTATTAACTTTTGATTTATTCTGGGCGACAGCATAATTTAATATGTCGAATTGGGTTGGATAATTCCGCATTGCGATCCCTCCCAGTCTGGAGATTAGGTCTAATATTCCTTTCCAGGCTTCGAAATTGATTTATTTCGTAAGTTATTACAACCCAATACTGTATTTTTCACAGTTGGACAAACTTACGTAATAAACTTGCGTAATTTATTTTCTATATCTTTATGCAATACAACAACGTCTGGTAGGCTATTACCATTTGTAAAAGCAATTCTATAATTATGAAAGGAAGAAGTATCTGAAATTCGAAGTAGATTCCAACTCATGCTTTAATAATTAGAGAATATGTAGGTCGTTCCACATATTTATGTACACTGAAAATATCCCGTCGATCCATAAGTAAGCAGATATTGAAAGTACGAAGTGACACAATCCATAATTTATTCTGGAATTCGAAATGTGAAATATGACAACATTTTTACGTATGCACACTTATGTACTAATAATTTTTCAATTCAAAACAAGTTATGTGGAATATACTGATTTTATTTTTTAATGCACCAATAATTTATGTATTAAATTATTTTAATTAACAAAAAATCAACTCCGGATTATTTCAACGTCAACTTTACCGGAAAAAAGATTCCGAGCAACAAACTTAATTTATAATTATTATGTAATTTCCAAAATACCAGAAAGACATATGCTCTAGATAATTATATATTTACTTAAACTAAATGCTTATTACCCCTAAAAAGAACACTTCTCCTCCACGTAATTAATCACATCATTGACAAATTCAAATTCACAGGCGTCTTCGAGATTTCCGTCACAATCAAATTTCTCTCCAAGCGCTAACAAGATTTTATGCACGGCCATAGAATCTGCGCCCAAGTCGTCGTAAAGAGACGCGTTGGGGGTGATAAGTTGGTCTGTGATCTTCAATACTTTACCAATGATGCGAGCAACGTCGCGTGTTAGGCCTTTCAGGTCGAAATCCTTCATAGCGCTGCTGGGGTAAACTGCGATTTCTCCGGTGTTAGGCAAGACGAGATGAGTTATTAATTCAGCTTCATCGTTTTTAATCAAATCCCCCAGATTTTTAAAGGTTCGCCCATTTCGGAATGAAAGTCCACCCAGTCCAACGATCTGCGGTTGAATGTGTCGCTGATGCATCTGGAAACATACAAATGCATTTGTTAATTTAGTAGATTCATATAAAAAGAGACATAAAAATCCACGCTTAAAAAAATACGTTTTCAAAATTCTATTAAATTTTAATTTAAATTTAAATTTTAAATTTAAATTCGGCAAGTTTTGGACGGCCTAAGTTCATGAAAACGCGCAAATGCAATCACAAGGAACCAATTCTGTTGGAAAACGTAGCATTTTTGCGAACTTACGGCGCCCAAAGCCTGTCGAATTTATCCCATCTGCGCAAGTTCCGCGCCATAGGTTGTTTACAAAGAATTGCTCTTCACACTGACTTGGCCAAAAAATTATCTGGCCTGAATATGGTTTGCGTCATCCAATGTCAGAGTTCATTTGTAACTCAAAAGGGTAAAATTATATCTAAGGTTGTGTACTTACCACGTGGTGCATTCCAGAATATTTCTTGGCTCCCAAACTCCAACGGCTACCGTTCGAATAACTCAGAGTTTCGAGTAGCAAGATTAGTATAAAAATGATCACTGAATAATTCCTTGTTTGCATCGTGGTAAATATTTTTTTTCAAAATTCAAACGGAAATGGAAACTATGTATGTATCATGAAAAATAAACTTTTAAATGGCTTCAAAAATTGGGAATGTGATTGGCTAAGAGGCAAAAAGAACAGTGAAGGGTTTACCACGAGGTGATTCGGTTTTTATGGGGACCCTTTTTTCTTAAAAAAAGGGTCGACTATGTACATCTCATACATACACATTTATGTATGTAGCCTCCAAATATTTTATGAAGATTTGTAGCAATTTATTTATTGATAAAATATTATATTTTTTACACGCGTCTACATTCAATTGTAAATTTTACACACTAAATTTACTTACACTCTTAGAAATTCGGTATTAAAATAATGAAGTATTCACGTATGACTCGATCAGGGTGGTATATATAAGCTGTGTTGTATAGTGATAGCTCCGTATTATATTTTTACCATATCGGTAGTAAATTTTTACCGGCGTGTATACATAATTTTAATATAAATCGAGGGCACGTGTAATCAACATCTACTGTTTTATACCAGATTTCTCGCTTATGCGAAATTAACATTAATCAAGTTTCATGCATTCTCCCGTGACATGAATGTGGTCAAATTGTGGCCCAGTATGTACACATGATCACTGGCCGACTCGCCCAATCTATTTTTATCCCTCTTCGTGGAAGGATTAACGAAATGTTCAAAAGGAATCAAGCACAGGTAGATTTTTGTGCATGTAAATTTTCAACATCGAACGTTTCACACTTCTCCGTATTGCTTTCTACATATTTATTACTTGTTCCCAAAAATACTTATGTATTTATGTCCAATAGATATCAAAATTATAATGAAACCATAATACATATTTGCCACATAAGTATTGTACATGTGGTATGAATAAACACCATTTGAAGCCAATGTTGGTCACAATTTGTGTCTCAAATTGACCGTTTTTTAATAAATTTATTTTGATCCAGTTAATTGCTTATATCGCAAAAAAACAGCATGTAAAGGAAAAGTACAACAAAAAGTAGAAAAAAATCCGATGGTATAGTGACCATAGCTAAATATGTAGCTTCACCGGTATGACGGCTACATGAGTCTTCCTGTTGAGGTGAAATTGCATATTTTTTTGCATAATACCCTTATTGCATAGTGTAATTTTGAATAATTCCCAATTATGTATATAAATGGAACCCTATATTTATTAGCATTCATACATTTAGCATTATACTTAATTGCTACATGCATAATCTTATGGAATGTGAAACCTGACAATTATTGGACAGAAGGGTTTTCGACAACGTATAACTGTTATGCTACTACTTTATTCTTATACACTGTTACAAATCTGGTATATCCAGGAAGGAATTGATTTCTAAGTGTTAAGCTCCCTACTGCACTAATTACAGGATGTTTACAGATTTTGTGGAAAGACAATTACATGGATTACTTGTGAACGCGTGATCCAATTTGGGCCAAATTTGGCACACACAATCTCGAAGGTCACGACCACATGTCCAAAGTTTCAAATTTCTATCTTCAAAGATGGCGCCCAACAGTTACCCCAAAGTGGACGAACCGTAAAAGCGGTTTCCGAAGCTAATCTGGCCGCGAAAAGTGCCCAAACGATAATCCAAAAATCTGGAATCCATCTTATCGTGTCCCCCACATATAATTGTATTCATTTTGTAAGAAAACGACAGTAACTAGTTTCATCCGACCAACGTATGCCACGAAATGCATACCCCTCAAAACGATGAATTCTGCCACCCTCAAGAACATTGATTGCAACGATGGCAATCAGAATCCTCCAACCAAGACAGGTCACAATGCAATCCCAGGTGTCTCCTGGACACGTTAATCTTATTTTATAGCACAATTTTAAAAAAACCTTGCAGAGGAAGGCGAAAGTCTACGCACTTAAATTTACCCATATTGTAAACAAAAAAAACTAACTGTCGGAGGCTGTTTGAAGGTCATGTTGGGAATAAAAATTTCGAATTTGTCGTCACATTGACCTGGGCACTCGGCTACCTTCAAAACGATAACAGGACAAAAATAATTTGCTGCAAAACGGACCGAAAGCAGATTTCAAACCATGGGTCTGAAAAGAAGGAAAAGTTGTCTGACTCATTCCTGGTGGTAGATGCAATGATGGACCGTGGAGTGCTAACGTTGGTACCTGTTGGGTCTAGTGCAAAAATAAATTCGAAGTACTTTATGGACAATGTTTTACATAAGTTGTTCGAGGTCAAAATTGCAAAGAAGCATTTTGAAGAACCCGACAAAGTTTGCATCCATAACGACGCGACATTTTTATATACGGCCGAAATTACCCAACCGGACGGCCAAGATTTAAAGGAAAACCCCGGAATGACCTCCACATCTTTTTCCGGGGTACATATTAAGTAACATGACAGCAGTCCGATGGATTTTTTGAGGCTTGGGTGCCTAGAACAAAGTATTTTCAATGACAGAGATAAAAAATGTCTGCTGCTTGGAAAACTCTTTCACCGATTCCTCTACTTTGAGGTCACTTTTTGAGCTCATTTTTAAAGATAAAAATTTGAAACTAGGTACATGTGTGACCGTGATCTTGAGGATTACGTGTTCGAAATTTGGGGCCAAAGAGGAATATAGGTTCCCAGTTTACCCATAAATTTGTCTTTCCACAAAATCTGTAAACACCCTCTGTATTCAAGTAATTGGATGATTAATTATTTGGTGACGTCGAGTTGAAAAAATACATAATTTGTAATTAATTGCATGGTCAATTAAAGGACCGGACCACAATAAAATGTGCGGATGTACTTAATAACAATTTTCCAATTCTATACAATTATAATAAACCGATTTTATTTCTTAAAAATGCAATAATAATTTATTCTTTTAGTAATAACATATCAACGCCTAATTCTTGCAACTCAAAATTTCACAGAGTGCATTAAAAAAGTATTTTAAGTAAAAAAAAACTACATCTTATTTACTAATTCTTAATTCTACAATTTAAAATTCGTTACTTAATCTCAATAATTTTCTTCCCTCAAGAGAACACTTCTCTTCCACGAAATTAACCACATCCTTGACAAACTCAAATTGACAGGCATCCTCGAGACTTCCGTCGCATTCGAATTGTTCCATTATCGCCAACAAGATTTTATGCACGGCTAGAGAATCCGCCCCCAAGTCGTGGACGAGGGAGTCGTTGAGGGTGATACGGTCCGCGTTGAGCTTTAGAACTTGACCAATGATATGAAAAAGGGTGATTAATATGCTCTTCTGCTCAACCGGATCAGTTTCATCGCTTTTTATTGAATCCCCAAAATTTTTAAGATTTCGCCCACTTCGGATCGAAAGTCCATGCATCTGATGGGGAATGTGTCGCTAAAACATAATTTTGCTTAATTAGAGTAATATAATCTTAAACATACAAATTCCAGTTTTGAAAAAAATCTAAACTCTTAACAATCATATTGAGCTTTTGCTAGGTGAATGCACTCAAAATTCTGGATTAAGCAAACTAAGCTAAATCCTATGAAACGTTAAGAATTTGATCGATTTTGCTCTGAATTTGATAAAGTTTACTTAAATAAAATTATTTATTTAAGTCAGAATTTTGAGTACATTTACTTTACAAAAGGTGACATTATTTTTAAGAGTGTCCTTACCACGCGAAGCTTCCCAGTAGGTCTTTCTACTACAAACCTTCCGGTCGAATAACTCAGGGTTGAGAGCAGCAGGACCATTGTAAAAAACAGCACTGCACAATTCCTTGCTTGCATCGTGGTTTATATATTTTGTTGTGAAATTTAATGAAATTGGAAACTATCTAGTAAAAATAAACTTGCAAAGCTGGCACTAAAAAAATGTGATCTGGTTAGCAACGAAGCCAATGGAACAGTGATGGGTTGAGTAAGGGTTGATTCTATTTTTATTGGGTCATCTTACCCTTTTCTTAACAAAACGCTCGACCACTTATTCCACTCCTTGTCCACGTGTATGTAGCCTCCAAATATTTCATGAACATGTCAAATTATTTGTAAACTAATTATTTTACTTGTTACCAATGCATAAATTATATTTCACACTATATTTTCTACAAAAATATGCCATTCAAATCATTAAAATTACATCAAGCGATATTCATATGTACATAATCCCTACAAACAGATACATACACCAAAGTGGTATCGACAAGTAATACGGTGTAAAAGTCATACCATACCTGAAGGAAATTTCTACGGACCGGAGTAATTTTGGATGGTAGCAACCGGTAGAAATTTGCCTTTGTACATAAATAGCGAGGAACCAGTACCCACCCGATCATATCAAATTTCTAACAGTGTAATAACTAGAGTTGCACATGTGAAATTATCAAATTATTAAATTAAAAATCCTCAAGTTGCATGCACACTCCCCGGTGGCAGGAAGGTCATCAAATTGCTAAAAATGAACAGTGGCCGACTCGCCCAATCTACATATTTCTGTCCTTCTTCCTGGAAAGATTAACTAAACGTTTAAGAGGAGCCAAGCACAGGTACATACATAGGTTGAAAGGTAAGTATTTGTTCATGTAATTTTTACCACCGAACGTTGTAATTTACCAGAATAATTTTTTTTATTCATTACAGGTTTTTATTATTCAAAAATAAGTCCGCTGCGAACCAATATTTCAATGGAACATATGTAAATACGGATATAAATACGTAAATGCATATGTACTCTCCATTCGCACACGGTAGAACTTTTACAGAAATTGAGATATATCAGAAACTACGGCACTGTCTGTCTCAAATTCTCTTAAATTATGCTAACGGGGTACTTTAGGTCACTAAATTGTGGTATTAAAATAATACCAGACAGTAAAAATTTTGATATTGCTGAAACTTTGGCAGAGTTATACATAAATGAATACCGTTCTGCATATAGAGTTTTAATTCCGGATTTGTATATAAGCGTGTTGCATTTCCATCGTTTAAGCAGTACCCGAATTCATGGTGACGTATTTATCAACCATTGACCACATCACCTTGACGTATTTTTGATAAGGTTAGTCATGTCAATTGCTGGCCTGCAGACCATCATTCGTTTATAATTAGTATTTATGTATGCATGCACAAAGTATTAGAGCTGATATTGATGAGTATATTGCATACACATACAGATAATGTTAGTCATACCAATTTTCTATCCTCCTGGGCTATTCAGGCATTTTTCAGTCATAATTATGGTATAGGTATGTATATGGACACGTATTTGAGCCGAAATTCACGCTGTAATTGCTTACTTATGATGTTTCATATTTTGCAAGTTGCAACTAATGGTATAAATTGGTTTTTTGGACACCAGTAACCATGAGGGAATGTGGACAGTGGCACCCCATCAATGTTGAAGGAATGGGATAAATATTGTATATTGGTATCTCTTAATTCAGCCAATTCAGACACGGTCTTATCCGTGCATATTTAGCACACCGGTCTGATTGCCACGAATCAAATTCCACTCCGAGATAAGATATCCTCTTTCGAGTGAAGCAATTCTAAATGTGTCATCATCAGCCTCGCCCAGTTATTTGTGCAAGTCAGGCCTTATTGAATAGTCATTCAAGACATTGCCTTATTTATTTAGAACACTCGGGAAAATTACTGAATTTCAAAAATATGGCGCAAGGTTCGGCACGCCCACAATTAGAGGACGTTCTCGAATGCACAATCTGCCTGGACGTTCCTGCCTCTCCCATCCATAATTGTGCCAATGGCCACATAATTTGTGGCATCTGCGTAGACAAAATTACAAAATGTGGTCAGTGTCAAGATGTCAATTTTCAAATATCTATCGTAACAGAGCGACTATCTCGCCAGGTTAGTTGAGAAGAAAAACATACGCGTAAATATTTAAAAATTCAATATTTTTGTACATAATTCCGTCATAAATTTTCACACAGCTTGATTTTAAAATCAAATGTCCCAATTTTGAGTCTGGTTGTGTTCGACCAATTTCGGCAGCGGAAATGAAACCTCATCTTGCTAAGTGTTATTACCGGTTAGTTTTGTACACTCTAGATAATTTTGTGACAAGACTACCTATTTCCGATGGGGGTATTACATATGCAATTAAGCAACAATTAAGTAACAATATCGTGACAAGTTTGTGAGGGTGAAAAATTGCCTTCGGTGTTGGTACATTTTTCTTAACTGACAATGGAGGCGCAAACCATGTTCAGCGCAGATTATTCCTTTACCATGTTAGTTTGAAGGAGCAAGTCTTTCTAAACAACATTTGGTTCGGCACTTGCGCAGATGCGCAAAATTCAGCACGTTATGGGGGCCGCAAGTTCGCGAAAACGCATGATTTTTCATGCGATGTCCAGCGCGAGCTCAAATTTTTTCTATCTCTCTCGCTCGCAATTTCATTCCCACGCGAGGACACTGACCCCGCAACCCTCCACAATTGTAATTTTCCATCAATAACTCTGAATTGTTATATTTTTAACTAAAATTTTCAATTTTGTACCTTTTTCTCTTTGATAGGATGTTGATTTCATAATTACACCATATAGTAGCCAATTAAACTTTTCATGATTTTTTTATAAAACACGGAATATTTATTTCAACCAGTATCCAAATTTTGAGTTTTTTAAGAAAAATTCCTCTACGACAATAGAGTATTGATGAATAAGTTTTTCTTATTTTTGCAAAAGAATTTCTGCAATTTGTTGTTCCTCTTCCATCGGGTCTGTATCTTCACAGCCAACAGTATCTTGAACAACGAGGAACAACTATTTGACAACAGATAGGGTATTGATGCTTTCCATTATGAGATAAAATGTTAAAAAATTACGAAATTTGGTGAAATAATTCCAAAATGTAAAATTTCGGCATTACATATTTATGAAAAATTCGCGAGGAGAGTTTCGGGATCAATGTCCTCGCGTGTGAGTGAGAAAGCGAGCGAGAAAGACAGAAAAAGCTGAGCTCGCGCTGGACCTTGCATGAAAAATCATGTTTTTTCGCGAACATGCGGCGCCCATTACGTGATGAATTTTGCGCATCTGCGCAAGTCCGAACCAAATGTAGTTTCTAAAGACTTTCTCTTTCAAACAAAGTTGGTCACAAAATAATCTGGGCTGAACATGGTTTGCGCCTAGATAGTGAGCATTAAAAGCAAAGGCTGAGTTGGATTTTGCCTCCGTGTAAATGCTACCCGTCGGTTATTAGTTATTACGGAACCGGTAGAAGGAATTGCATTGTATCTCAGCCGGTAACAACTGTGTCACAAAATCATGGAGAGTTTAGTCAATAATAGTATAAACAAATGTATATGCAATGAAATAATTAACTGTAGCCGTTAATCCACAGCGATATAGAATGTGAAAACCGGAATGAAAATATATCTGACAAAGTAAAGGTTCCATTAAAAGAATACGGGAATCATTTAGTAGAGCATCACGAGTGTGTCCGGAGTACAAAATTTTTCCATGTTTTGCCCTACAAACTCTATGGTAATTGCAACATACTATTAGAATTAGGCATATCACACATTCTAATTCGTAATTACATGCAGATAATCTCCCATTTCACCCTGTAATGTTCTCACAAGATGGGAATACTTTTCTCCTCAACGGCCACACAGATAGCAATCAATTAGTCTATTTCTGGGTAACGGTATTAGGAGATATTGAGGACGCAGAAAAGTATTTGTATCAGCTGGTCATTTCGAAAACAATCGAACGGGATAGGAAGGTTTGTGCAACTACAATACTACACTACTACAATATTTATCCAAATCTACTTAATAAGTCGCCAATTGAACTGCAAATGCCATGGTAAAGTTGTAATTTTAAATTTTTAGATAAAGACGTCGACTACGATGCCCGTCCTTGCGTATCACGACCGGCCAAAATATATTCCAGGTTTACCATTCTATGTGGCTCTTCCAGCACAAACTTTGATGGAGTTTTGCATTCCGCTCAAAGCTGAAGGGTACCCATATGAGCATAAATTTGATTGTGAAGTTTATTTGAAAAAAGATACAGTTCCGACCTGATTCAACTGCGCATTTGGGCAGAAACTTATGACTCTACTGTGTACAAGAAACAATAAACCAGAAGTAACATTTTCCAAAACAAATTTTGTGTATTCTTATTTATTTAATTAGTTAGCCAAGTTTACAGTCAACATTACTCGAGTATATTCGTACTTTTGGTGGCTCACAGTTTACGTAACTATCAAAAAACATATTTACCAGTTAGTTACCGTGTTTAAATTAAACAAACAAAAACCTCATTTCACAGTACGGAAAATCTAGAGAAATGAATTACATCTGGATAATGGTATGTCATAGCCAAATCGTAATATTGCATGTTTAATTAGGGGATTTAATTATTGTTGGTATCCGTGGCATCGTAAAATAATTTATTAGTACAAACGAAGGGACAGGTGGGTCTACACTCTTCCGTAATTTTCGGCATAGCTAAATTATAAAATTTGTGCAACTTACCAAGGAGTGAACAGTGGCGGGGCTAGGATATTTTCAGACGTGGGCACCAGAAAAAAATATGAAAAATTACAGTATGTGATTAATGCTAAGATTTTTAATTTCAAATTAAAATGCCACTTTTCTCAAGAACAGGGAGATATTTATGTCAAAATTATTTTTATATCAATTATTCCTACGTCCCAATTATCGTACGATCTTCTAACAATGAGAAGGTGTTAGATGTTTATTTCCGATTTTGACCAGACTAATTTTAAATTTTTCCGACTCAGAAATAGGCGAACTATTTTTTTATACCTTCTTCAATGCATGTAAATATTTTTGCCATTCGAGCAGTTTTTAAATACATTTTTTTAGCCTTTTAGAATTTTATTTTATTTTAATTTATTTTTTTTAGAATAATTTAAAAATTATTCAAGTCACTGTAAATTTTCCTGTGTTAATCTGATTTCAAAAAGAATTTGTTTGCTCAGAGTGTCACTGAAAATGGAGGTCTCCCAACGTATGCTCACAGATTTAGAGCAAATTAGCGTCAATGGATGACAAATATAATTAGTACGAAATTTGCAAATAGAACTATCTGCCAATGCGCAGTTTTGACAGAGATATTTGCATTAAGAGCGAGAAAAATGCGTAGCAAATTTGAAAAATGAAAAATTTTCCAGCCTCGGGGGATCGTTTTCTCAATCTTTTTATGCAAATATATCCGCCAAACCTGCGTATTGGCAGATAGTTCTATTTGCAAATTTCATACTAACTATATTTGTGATCGATTGACACTAGTTTGATCCAAATCTGTGAGCATATGTTGGGAGACCTACATTGTGAGTTATTTTTAAAAAATCCACTTTTAAAAAGATTTTTGTTTTAAAAAATTGAAGACTTTTTTATTTAAAAAGTTTGAAACTGTGATGAAGGTTTTAATAGTCTTTTAAAGAATATTTTTTAACTGCTCGGAAACAATTCTGACCATCCGTTTTTGAAATCAAATCAGAATTTAAAAGTTATAACATTTGAGAAATTCAGATTTTAAACTAAACATTCGCCATAACCCTGAAGCGATTTTTCACATAAATAATGAGTAATGACTAACGCGGGAATTACGTTCAATGTCCATGGAGGGTGTTCGCCCAACTTCAGAGGGTCGATCAGTACCGATCAGAACTGTACCCGAACCGTACATTGTTGCATTACGGGTACGGTTCGAAAAGATTAAAAAATTTAAAGTACGGTTCATTTAAGGTTCTGTGAATGTTTGTGAACGGTGCCGGCTGGCTTTGCCAAATCGTATTTTTCTGATTTCGAATACCTCGGAATCCGGATTTCATTCAGAAAAGATACCGGATTTTTTAATGGTTAGACTTATATTTAGGGTTGCCGCGGGTAGCGAAAATGCTACCCGTTACCCGACCCGCTACCCGCAGCACAACTACCCGTACTCGCACGGGTACCCGCTTCCCGCTACCCGTTTTGAGAATTGGGTTAAAAACTAACCAAGCTTGAGAATAAGTTTGATTTGATCAATTATTTATTTATTTGAGTTGATATGTTTTTTGAGATAATGCTACACGAGTAGGGCATGCTTTTTGGCTTACAATTGGATCGTTTTCAAGCTATGTCGGTATTTCTTAGCGATTTATATATATAAAAAAATTAAACCAAAAAATACGAATTACATGGAACTAATTTTCCCATTTAATGAACAGTTTAAAGGAAACTAATGCGGGTGAAGAGTTTAAGGCCCACCATGGATTTCGGAAAAACCACGAAAGCAGGAAACTAGGAAAAACATTTACTTAAAAATTAAAATTTACTGCCACTATTATTCGTCGAAGGGGCCATTTCAAGGAAAGATTAGTATCACGTGATTCCTAATTTTTGGCCTGACTTTTTGATTCCAGGGGAAACCTGGGTTAGCTTGAGAAGGTTCTATTTTTACTTAGTTTGATTTTTTCAAATTTTGATTTAAATGAAATTTTCATTTTAAAAAATGGTCTACAAATAAATTTTTTGCCTTCAATCGGATTCAAGCTTTTTATCTTCAAAGCACACGTTAAAATCTCTATGGTCTTACATAAATACATATATGCACACAAATACAAGTAATATTGTTATTGATATTTTAGAGCGGGAAAACCATGCTTGAGAAACAATACATATGTAATTGCTCCGCATTTTCTGGACCTGAAAAGTATTTGAGGCCGGCATAGGCCTCTGTGGCTTCCGTAAAGACACGCTCGTTATAAACGCGTTTGCTGGCAAATGACAAATTTTGAAATGGAAAAATAATAAATTAACTCTTTTGTTGGTAAATGGATTAACTGGCTGCTAACTTTCTTTGTGAACTGATTTATGTCGAAAATTAAATAAAAACTAAATTACCCGTTACCCGTGCGGGTAGTTCTCACTACCCGCAGATAACAGGTACCGCAAGTATCATGCGGGTATGCAGGTAACGGGTACCCGACCCGTTACCCGCGGCAACCCTACTTATATTCATTTACATACATACATTTGATGTAAAAATACAAATCTTTGAGAAAGTAAATTTTTAAAAATGTTTGGTTGTTATGCTAGATATTATTGATCCTTTGTGGTTACTCTATGATATCCGACAACAAATCTAAGCTTTTGAAATGCCATGTTTCATTCCATCAAGTGAAAAATAATTCCAGAAATTGCCAACATGGGCAGAAAATTTTCGAAAACATTCAAAGCCTCTAAAAAAGCTGAGAATGCAATTGATATGTATATATTGATAATATGATAATCTAACTAATAGTAGCCAACCATCTGACAGTTATGTACCTGATTCGTTCAAATTTCAAGGAAATCAATAATAACAATAAATAATCCGAAGTCCGGATTTGAAAATTCCGAACGGATTTGGCAGCCCTAGTGCTGGTATGCTTCGATAAGGGTTCGATTAATCGACCAATGTTCAGCCAAGATTAAGAAATTAGAAGGATTCGTTCATATTTCCGTGTAAAACTCATATTCGGGGAAGAGGACAGGCTTAAACCTAAAGGCTTGATTTTCTAAAAATTTCTTCATAACTTTTATCGGTTTCGTACGATTTATAAACCCTTGGGCTTAAAATGACCAAAAAATTCGATATTTTAAGAAACTGTGCACCATCTGAGATATTTTAAAGATGTTTTCGACAAACCCATAATTATAAAAGAAGTACGAAATTTCGCGCAACCCCACTGCGGCAAGCATGAGTTCTACCCATAAATATGTATGAATCCTTCGTCTATGTAGGGCCCTAGAAGACTTGAAACAACATAGGTACCCAGAAGGCGACGAGCAGTGGGGAACATTTACTTGTTAGATCTCCTTGCTAATATAGTAGCTACTGGTTAAACCTCAAAGGAACCCTATATTTGCTTCATATATTTCGAAACTCCATTTTGAAAAATTTAAAATCCATTATTCTGGGGCAGATTTTGAAAGTAATAATTTCAGAAGTTTCTTTTTAATTTCTAACAATTTAAATATTTTAAAAATTGTAACAAAATTATAAGTTTTGCATGTATTGTAAAATTACAATTTTACAACACAATATTTTACAATACCAATTAACTGGTGAGATTTTTTCAAATAGCCTCCTCCAAATGTTTTTGAAATGTAATTATGAAAGACATTGAGGCGGAGAATCTTTTCATAAAATTTTGACAAATATTTCTAATTTTCCAATTCAGCCTTCCTAGAGAAGTAGATATGTGCAAAGTGTGAGCGAAGACCAACAAGGTTTACTGGTTTTTTGTCCACCACGATCATCTCATAATTTTATTATGTAGGCTATGAAAAAAGTTCAATAATATCTAGTGTAAATGGGCACAAAATTTGACGTGGGCACGGGCCCACTTGTGCCCACTACTAGCCCCGCCACTGGGAGTGAAGTATAAGCGCACCTTAAGTCATGAATACCAAAGGGTGATTTCCTACATGGTGACGAATTTGTCGTTGAATAACCCCTGAACGGTTTGTCGTAGCGGGTCAAAATTTTGAACAGAGGAGCATGTTATCTTTAGGTACGCGTGTGCAAAAATTCAACTTTCTACTTTCAAAAATACCTCCCCCAGAGCCCCCCGAAGTTCAAATACTCATTTTTACTCTTTCCAAACTCCGTCTAAAAAATTCAAACTCCGCAGAAAATTTTTGTTTTCAAGTATCCGACCCCAAATAAGTCCATTTGACTTATGTCCGGGGATTGTACAGGTATTTCACTATTCGTAATGATTTTTATCCCCAATCATAAGTAGGAGGAATAGTAGGAGGATAGGAGGATAAGGAGAGTAGGAGGATAAGTAGGAGGACACCACGACCCGACATTGCACCCACGACCATTAACTGTTTAAAAAAGTACTCCTTACAAAGAAGCACCAACTTGAGTGAATTGTTTTCCGCATTTGTCGTGTAGAAAGCTCTTTGAACCTAATTAGTAACTTGTAGAGAAATTAGTGCTTCGTCAATTGTCACAAATAACTCACTCTGATTCCTTCACAAAAAATTCGAATAATTTTTTTTGTAAACACGGGCGCGATTTTTTTCCTACTTTTCAGTCAGATGATGCACAACACTTTTCCGACTAATCCTAAGTAGTTTCTTTAAAATGTTAATTTCTCTTTTCACTGAACGCTTAGACACCCCAACCTTACGGGAAATTTCCTTTTGGGTCGGTGGATTGTTTTTGAAGGTCAATAGGTCAATTTTCCTATGCACGGTCGAAATTAACACTTTTTTTGCCTTCTTTCAGGGGGTGGTAGTTGCCCTTTACTCAAAATTTATCGCTTTTCACCTATATTTTTCAATACCCTATTGATTGTAGATTTCTAAACTGTTTTCCATTCACTTTTAAAATGCTTAGTAATTCGGTTGTACGAGTATTTAAGTTTGGAAAGAGTAAAAATGAGTGTTTCAACTTCTGGGAGCTGTGGGGGAGGCATTTTTGAAACTAGAGAGTTGAATTTTTGCATACGCGTACCTGAGGATAACATGCTCCCCTGTTCAAAATTTTGACCCGCTACGACAAACCGTTCCGGGGTTATTCAACGACAAATTCGCCACCAGCAGAAAAATCACCCTTTGGTAATATGGATATGATTTTCAAGCATGCAACCTTAAAAAGGCGAGTACGCATAGGAATTTTAGTGACAAACCTTTCTGTGAATTAGCAACCTTCGTAATTTAATAAGCAAGCTAAGATACTAAGGAAATCCAGAATCCCACGATATTACTTAATTAAAAGATTGTTTATTGACAATTTTCCTATTTCTTAGTTTGTTTTAACCTCATTAACCAACTCGTTGACGGTCACTCCAGAACACTCATTTGCAGATCTTCTGAGCGCCATTAATTGCTTGGAAAACGCCAGGACGACTTCTATCACGGTGGCAGAGGAAGTTATTTCCGCTTTTCAGACTTGTACGAAGAATAAAGATGTACTTGATGCGATGGTACGTACATAGAATTTGGTCCAGAATTTCCAAAATTTAAATCCATTATTACTGTTCATTTCAGTGTACTTTTCCTTGTATTGCTAACGAAATGGGGCTGTTCAGAGAAGGAAAGCCCGTACAAGATGCCATCTCAACTTACGTCAACAACCAATTTGCTGAAGTTGTAGATGACGAAGCCAGGGAAGACTGGATTAACGGGATCGAAGGGTGCTTATCGCAATGTTAGATACAGCAGAAATTACTTAGCATTTATGTATTTCAACCTCCCAGAGTATTATCCCACATTTTGACCAAATTAGTGCTAATCTATCCCGAGCTTAATTTGTATGAATTTTGCAGAATACACAATCTCTAAATGGACACGTTTTTAGCAGAGATATTTGTACCAAATGATGATAAGTAAATTTGGAAAATGTATTTTTTTAATTTTGAGCCCCGTTTTTTGATCCTTTGATACTAATATCTCTCCCAAACATACGAATTTTAGAGATGATGTTTTTCGCATATGTCATATTAATTAAATTTGTGATCGATTGATACTGGTTTGGTCGAAATCAGAATGAGTACGTTGACAGACCTACACTATGTATTAGTTCGATATGGGCAAAAGGTCTGTTAAACTAAATTTAGATGAAGAATCCGGAGAGCCATTTCCCACCGAATATACCGACTGCACTCCACAAATTGATGGGCTTTTGAATATGAGAAATTGCATCCTGAAAGCTCGGGTTAGGCAAAAATTAAAAAATATATATATTTAAATTTATATAACTTCGGCTAATGACTTCCAGCAATGTCCCAACTCCACCCAACTTGAAGAAGATAGGTCATCAACTCCGACCGAAAGTGCATCATCGCCAATAATACGAACAATTGGTGGATTCGTTGCAAACATTCTTTCCATCTACCCCGGAGATTGTTCGGTATTTGGTTGCCATAAAAAATTATGCTGGGCATACTGCGGTCTTTCATATACGAGTGGGGAATGGTGCTACACCACAAGAGGGGTGCAGAGCCAAAATGGAGAATACGTTTCTTGCAATATGGACAGCGAATGCAACGGTTGTTGGAAATGTGCGGGACCATGTGCAATCTTCTAGAGCAGCTTAACCAGAAGCAATTGATGCAATTGGGTGATTTTATTGATGTGGTGAATACATGTGTTTAAAAACAATAAAATTTGAATAGTAGAAAAATTAAATCCGAATTAAAGATTTATGACATATATATATGATTTCAGAAAGTTTTTTTTAAACAATGAAGATATCTCGTAAACAATTCGTAAGATTGAATGCTTTAATACAAACTCATGTCAAACTAATGCAGGAAAGTTAGTCGCAGAGCTTAACCACGAAATAAAATATCATGAGGTGGGAAATGTTTTGAAAATAAAATTCACCCACGTCCTTAGTGTGTATCCAAATTTTTAAAGAACAATACACCACGCCAAACAATAAACCGGAAGTGGCATTTGTCCAATAAGAAATATTGTGCATATTTAATTATTGAATTAGTTGGTACAAGTTTACAAGAAACATTTATTTATACCTTAGGGTACTTCTTCTCACAGTCAACGGAAATATCAAGAAACATAATTACCTTTAAATTATATTAAGTAGTTACGATATTTAATTCAAACACACTAGAAACGCGTACCATTTCTGAGTATATAAAATCTATGGAAATGAGTTACATCTGGCTCATCCTGGTGTGTCGTTCAAACTGCAATATTTCATATTTAATAAGGGGATTCATAATTCTTATTCGTACCCTTCGCAGCGTAAAATAGTTTCTTAAAACTTACGAAGACTCCAGATGGGTTAACACTTCACTCGATAAAATGTACCATAGTTAAATGACACTGCGCAAGTTACCAAGGATTGAAGTAAGTATGTGCACATAAAAGCACCATTAGGTATGCGTTATAAATCATGGAAATATTTTGCCATTTTTAATTGCACACAATTGCGACGCTTCCAAAAATTTGTAACCTTTGTAACTTAATAGGAGCATAACTGATACGAATGAATTGTCAATCCTACTTGATTATATAATTTATAAATTGACAACCTATCCATTCTTCAATTTTTCGCCACCACGTCAACCAATTCGCTCACGCTTGCTCGCGAAGAGTCGTTTGCAGATCTCCTGAGAGCCATAAATTGCTTGGAAAATTCCCGGACTACTCCCATCACGGTGCAGGAAGAAATAACTTCAGCTTTTGAAACTTGTGCTGAGAATAAAGATTTAGTCGATGCAATGGTGCATACAATTTGATTTAAAATTTCTAAAAATTATTGCGTAACTATTTATGATTCGTTTCAGTGCACTTTTCCTTCTATGGCCAATGAAATGAGGCTGTTCAGTGAAGGGAGGCCCGTACAAGATGCCATCTCAACGTAAGCCCAGGCCCCGATCTAGCACAAAATCTTACCTGGGCAAAGAAATTCGGCGCCCCAAGCCGCTCGCGCCTTCGACGCTCGCATGTGGCTTTTTTCTCAATAAAATATGTTCGCAAAATATTCTTCCCCAGGCCTTATTAATTTATTTAAGACTAATATTATGCCTCAGCCTGATTTTTTACTTTTATTTTGTAATTTGTTGAGTTCTACAAAACTACACCATTTTCCCTCCTAGTTTTTACGCGCTCGAAATATGCACTTTTAGCACGATGGAATGGATTCGTTAGGTCAAATCCGTTAGGTTTTACAAATTTTATAAACAAAAGGATATTTCGTTAATTATTTGGAATCCTGTTAATTACGGCAATTACGCATCGACTTGCGTATGTAAGGCATGTCCCAGAATAAGTTAGACAGTTGGATTTTAAACTATACTGCGCAATTAGTGGAGATTGTTGTTAAGCTATATTATTTTTGAAGCGAAATTTCAAGGGCAACTAGCAGGTATAAAGCATTTTTTGTTAAAATGACAAAATTCAATAGAAATGAGGGTCAAAGTGAAAGCCTCGAGAATTGAGTTTTTCACAACTACAAAATCGTCGCTCGAAGTGAATAGAAAGAGATGTGGCAGTACTTTAAAACGGCAGGATATCCCAAAACGGAAATCTACATTTATATTTCGAAGTATAAAGATGCCAAAAAGCGAAATTCAAAAATAATTTTAGACCACCTCTGGTCATAGTCACCAACAAAAGAGTGAAAGTCATAAAAAAACTTATTTACCACCAACTCTTCCACGTAAAATCGTACCGCTGCCTGGGTACTGAAAATTTCAAAATGTTTGTTGGGCAACCTAGAAGTTCATTAATTGGGGACTACAGAAAAAAATAAATTAAATTTTCCAAAGTATATTATAGACTAAAAAGTCACTGTCCAAATACTTTGCAAAACAATGTGTCGATAAATGTCATTAAAAATTATCATCCTGATGACGAGGCCAACGACGACCCTGATCCCTTACAAGCTTCGGGAAACACATTTTTTCACGCAGGCAGCCCTGCCAGTATAGATTATCAACAAAAGTTGTATCTGCAAACTAAATTCTCTGCAAAATTCCTAGTTAATCATGCGACGGTTAACATTGAGTAAGATACCCTTAAATCAGCAAACCGCACAAATGTCCCTTATTTATGATTAATCTATAAATTTTGGACCTTGTGCAAAAGAACATACTTTAACCTTCGCTTCTAGGCGAAAAAATTGGAAAAACTCGAACGTTAATGGTGAAAAATTAGCCTAAACATTTCGGAAGCGGGTGGAAAATCGTAACTTCCAGGGTTGCTGGGGAAAGTCAGATTGGTGATCAAGAATGGAATTAGACAAATCCTCTTGAATACAAATAGGCGGGTAGGGTTTCGACCTACACTTTTCCAAAGATTTTATAAAAATCTTCTAACCAGGTCGAACCCTACAGGTCTTGGATCGTTGTCTAACTTACTCTGGGACAGGGTATAACTATATAAATACATACCTATTTATGTTTATTGTCTTAACAAATAAATTAATCTGGCCAATCAGGATTATCAGAGTTGGGAGATTAGTTCATTTTTTGCTCGGATTACGGATTGGAGATTGGAGAAAATTTTTGGATTAGAATGAGGATAAGAAATAAACATTGATTGGAGGATTGGATTAGATTACTTTATAAACATGATTTGGATTGGGTGATTAGGGATTGGCTAATCTGGATTAGTTTCAATATTAGGGATTATTTTTCACCTTTACTTTGATTTTGTGTAATGAATTTTGTTTAAAACTTTATTATTTCGTCCCATAGATCGAAAATTTTGCGTACTTCGTACTCCGGAAAAAGCCGCGTACCCCGGCCTCCCAAGGCCGGAGTACGTACTCCAAGCCCGGAGTACTCCGACCTATGTTTCACCCTACGAAAAATAATAGCAAAGAAAATTAAACGAAAATTTGCTAAACTCATTCAATTTGATATGATTATGGCTATTCTAACCACAAAGTAATCAGTTCATCTGACATAGAAGTTAATTCTTGTGTAAAAATTTAGCAGCACGGATTGGATTCATTCTTGTAACAATTTGTGCATAATTTCACGTCAAAAAAGACAGTAAAAGAAATCGGTTAAAATCGTTCTTTAGGGCTGTTCTCAAAATTTCACAAAAGTCAAATGCAACGGTTAATTTTAAGGGGAATTTGAAACACAGTTCTCAAAGACCTTAAAAATAATCCAAGATCTATGACCAATCCAGGTTGCGGATTAACCTGGTGATATTTTGCTGGATTTATTTGAATGAATTTATTTCCGGGATTGGGGATTAGTGGATCACGTTAAATATTTTCAAAACTTAGATTGGGGAATACGGATTGACTAATCCCAATCCGGGTTACCAATCCTCCAATCGCTAAACTGGATTGTCGCAGCTATGAGGTTAATTAATACATTTAGGTTGCAGAATAAATTGTAAGATAGAACATATGCTCTATCTTACATTGTACGTTTCAAAACTTGCAGTGGTGCATCAACGCACAAATTAGAATGTCGCAATGAGTTGTCCAAACTTGATGAAAACAAAAATTCGAGGCAAAAGATTTTCAAAATTTACAACTGGAAAATTCAATTATATCTAGTGTAAACCCGGGCGCCTACCGGCGCCCCCCAGTGGTTTGGCTCCCCGGGCAGCTGCCCGGGTTGCCCGCCCCTAAATCGGGGCCTGTGTAAGCCAACAACCAGTTTGCAGAAGCTATAGATGACGAAGCCCGAGAAGATTGGATTAACAGGATAGAAGGGTGCTTATCTCAATGTAAATACTTACAATTTATTTAGGCCCTCCAGCCCGCTGCTCCCAGATTTTGGTCAAATCAGTGACAATCGACTAAAAATTTGATTCATATGAAATTTCCAGAAGACATGATCCCCTAATGCTGAGGTTGGCAGAGATTCATATTTGCATCTGAAAAGGAGAAAACGTGCCTGAAGGTCGACAGATTTTACACTTTACAAGTTTGATGCACGTCTCCTCCTTATCGGATGCGAATACCACTACCAACGCTGAATCGAGGCATCATGGATTTTACAAATTTATTAATCGCATATTAATAAATTACAAAATTAACATTGCAGTAGACTGGCACTAGCTCGGTCAAAATCTGGGAGTATACTCTGGCAGACCACCATGGTCTGATCGCCAGGGTGACCAGACCTATCAAAAATTCCTTGTAGATAAATGAAGAGTCCGGGGAACAATTTCCAGCAGAATATACCGACTGCACCCCAGAAGTTGGTGCGGGCTTTTGAATTTGAGAAATTGCATCTTCAACGTGCGGGTTTGGGAAGAAATAACCATAAATTATTTCAAAGTTTATTTAACTTTTGTCACGTACTTCCAGATTTGTCCGAACTCTACCCACTTTGAAGAGGACAGATCAGCAAGTCATATAGAATCCTCATCATCACCAATAATACGAACCATCGGCGGATTTGTTGAAAACATTATTTCCAGATATGTACCCTGGAAGTTGTGCGGTATTTGGTTGCTATAAAAATGGTGCTGGGTATACTGCGGTCTTTCGAACACAAGTGGAGACTGGTGTTACACAACGAAAAAAGGCCAGACGCAAAATCGAAAGCATGTTTCTTGAAATTTAGACAGTGATTGTTTTGGTTGTTGGAGATGTGCGGGGCCATGTTCACTCTAGAGGAACTTGTGAAACTATAAGACATTAATGCAATTGGGGAATTTCATTGATGTAGTAGATATATATGTTTCAGTTCAGTAAAATTTGGATGGTGGAAAAGCTATTAAATTCATATTAAAAATGCACTACAAAATTTAGTACTGCAAAAGACAATTAATTTAAATCAATGCAAATATGTAAACAATTTGTTTATTCATCATTTGCGTTCCAATACAAAGGAAGGGGAAGCTTATGAGGGATAGCTAGTTACAAAGTTTTGAACATAAGTCGTAATCTTTTCATCCACGTCATTATAACTGCATAAGCCTTCCTGCTACTAATCCTAATGATTTCTATTATTACAACTCGCGATTCCATTATGAAAGCCATACATCCGAGTACTACAAGTTCCATACAAGCCACAAAAATATATTGCATTGCTGCTGCAGATACTTGTTGTGCTTCATTGAACTTAACATCGGCCCTTGCGTTTATCATCCTCCTTCTAAAATATCTGGAATTACTGGAATTAAAGTTATCAGCCGCAGTCATATATAGTTTTCCCATTTTATCTAAATCGTCCCACAGTTTTGTAAGCCCTGATTGTGCCAATTGTCCTATTCCGTGTTGAAGCGGCGACAATAAGAAATTTCGTGGCCCATCAGCAACACTGACACGTTCTAGGTTTATATCGTCAATGTTCCGTTTGCTTACCCATTTTCCTACCATTTCGCATTTATCAACTATCTGATTCAATTCTTTTTCTAAGTCCATTATAGCTAAGGGAGCAATTAAACGTTCACCGGTGATGTAACTATATGTGGCTGTCGCCGGTACATGCTTAGCGCGTTGATCTAATCTTCTTAAAGTATCGGCAAACTTTCCAATATTTGCAAGACGGAGCTGTAGGAAAATTTCATTTCCCAAACCTGACCCAAATAAATTACCGTCTTCATCACTCATAGCCACCTCCCTGATAATCGAAGAAGAGGTGACAATACTAATGTTAGATGAAAGGAGCTCCGAAGTCGTCCGTGGTACAGATGGCGATGTTTTTGCAGTTAATTGTGAATAAATATCTCCTTGATAAAAGTTATTTAAAAAGAAGCAACACACATACCAAAGCGTAACCCAGGGAAATAAAACGGATGCAGGCCTTGGCATAATTAGCCCATTTCCATTAGACTGACTCAATAAGGTGGACATAAGCCAGTAAATGTTGTTCAGTGCGGATTGAATTACATCCGTTTGAAATTCTTGTCTGTGCAGTTGAACTAGCACGAGCATTAGGAAACACGCAGTCCCAAGCAAGATCCATGTAAAAGGTTCAAATGATATATACAACGATTCAAAGCCAAGTGAAGTTGCTGCTGGATTAGTAATAATATGGAACCTGAACTTCGAAAACTGCATTGATAAACCAAAAAATTCATAATAACTACGAGATATCCAGTGATGAATTCTCCTCTCAGTTAGAATCGCATCAAAATAGATCTTTCCAAAATATTCTTGCCCTGGATTTTTGGCTTTCAATTTAGGAAAATAGTCTGCATCAAGCACTGTGAAGTTGTACTTGACGCTCATAATCCAGACAGAACAGGTAGTTAGCGAGTCACCGTTAATAAAGGATAACAGATTAGCCCCACACCGTTTTCGGGTCTGAATAGGCGTACTGTCCCACCTCTGCCAACCGGATATAAATAGAATAATTCCCGATCTGATATTACGACTGTTATACATTTCATTTATCTCAAGCAATTTCGCTAATGTGAGATGCTTTGAATTGATTACAACGGTGGATAGGCATGGCCAGCAGTAAATGGAAAGATAGTTAGGCTTGTTATAGTCAAACCGAACAATTATAGCGGTAAAGAATTTAGGAATATAATAGTCGCCAAGGTGGAAGTATGTGTTTAGAAAAATATAATCTGGACTCTCATGGGCTAGATCAATCCGCTCCACTAGCCTTATCAGCCTTCCCTGCACACTTGTTTCTCCCCATTTAACATTAACAATTGTAGCAATAACATTTCCTGATTTGGCAACGGGTTTGTGCAACTTGTCACTTAACAAATGCCTTTTTCTGATCAACATCGCGTGAGCGTACCGGCCAAACTGAAGTTCCCAACCCGGAATATAATCCCAAATTGTAGGCGTGTAAGGATTATTTGTTCGGATATCATTCTGCAGCTTTGCTTCTGCGTCTAAAGTTGGGGGAAAATTGGTTGTAAAAAATTGTAGGATACAGTTTTCGAAGAGGTTTGGTGTGTTCCATATATTTGCGGTGGTAAAAGGTCTGCAAAAGTTTATCACTAACAGAACCAACAATATGTTAATTTGGCTAGTTAATTTCACCATTATGAGATTTTTTATAAATTGTAGCATAAAAGTTTTAACAAAATTTTTTTGCTAGAATTACGGAGCCTCTATCGAGTACAAATCCTTTCTATGCAATAACAAGAGTAGTTGGATAGAATCTAGGTGGATATATATTTGTTATTCCTGTTCAACTATTTATGTAAATCCTCGCATCCTTACCCTCTTTAAAGTCCTTAACGTGTGCACAAATATCACAAATCTATGCATATGTATGTTGCGGTGGCTTTACGTAATTTTTTTAGAGTCACGAAAGAGCCGTCCTTGGTCAGTCTTACTTGCATAATTCAAAACCACTTCGCACCCCTGAGTCAAAACTTAAGGTGTGTGTAGAATTGTTTCCCCCCGCTAAAAACTTTTACCTCCAAGGACTTTTCGTCCAGATGTCGACAACAAATTCCGTGTGTCACGAACACACACAGTTATGTAATGCTTTAATAACCTAATAATTTTATGTAACCTTTGAAAGAGACAACACATCCTGAGAAAGGATATAAGCAAATACAGGGTGGTTAAAATGTCACGCCACAATGAAAAATTTTTCAATGGGAAAAGTCCCTAAATCTCCATTAGTTACAAGATTTGGGATTGAGATTTTTATAAATTTTTATCAAAACTGATGACAAAATTCTTAAAATGTTGCATTTTAGAGACAAAATTTCGGTAACTAATGGAAATTTATGGATTTTTCTCATCGAAAAATTTTCCATTGTAGCGTGACATTTTAACCACCCTGTATAATAAATTTGTCTCAATAAGTTAAAGTAGAGTAGACAAAAGTTATCACTGCCTGGGCTACTATTTTTTAAAGGGGGGAAGTTAGTCAATTTTTGCATATCCATATCAAATGGATGTACGTATGTAAATAGTATATGATGCAATCTGTCACATTTTTAGAAAGGGTGTCACCCATGTACAAATCAATCGCTTTGAATTTGGATGTCCGTCTTTCATTATTTACCACGATGGCAAAACAATTGCGGAATATGAATCTCTGCAGCTAAGGGCATGCTACGAATGAAAGTGGTCACAATCTTGTAATTGTGGGACGTCGTCATGTCCATAACATGCTTGTTTTTTATGAAGGGGGTCAATCTCGTTATGACACATCTTTCAATTAGAGTTTAGAACTCAAAGTCTTGCAAATAATAAATAATATTTCTTGAGAAAAGCTTCGTCATCTCTCTTCACTACTTTCACCGATCCCAGGAGGGCAGTTCCGCAAACTGATTTTTTGAAATCTGCATTTCCACGTTCCTCGTATCTGTCCAGTACTCAGTTAATTTTGTTCCAATGGATTCCTCCATTTGGAAAAAAATTGGGAGTGTTTTTTCGATCCCTGAAACAAAATTTTTCGTACGTTTTGGCAAAACCGTTTTGCGACTTCGTCGGAATTTTTTGCTCTCATTTTAGAACCAATAGAGATAACGGATTTTGGTTTAAGGATTCAGAAAGCTGATTAAATTCCGAATGAGACACAATAGGCTTGCAAAATTTAACATGACTCCTAAAACAATTAAGCGAGCGGGGCAAACTGCCACTTCCATTCGTAGCATGCCTTTACATGAAAACTTTTTAGCTTAAGATCAACCTGTTAATACATAAGCATGCAGGTGAATTTCTAAAGTTGAAAACTATTTATTTCACAATTGGCAAGCGCTACATAAATGTGTATTATTCCAGTCTTCAATTGTATATATTACTTTTTATTTAGTATATGTACTAATTTCTAGTTCACCCTTCACATGTAGCATCGCCTATAATAAAATAGCATATCCAGTGCTAAACGGACGTTAACAGTAATGGCATCGGCAATGTTCCGAAGTGCATTTCGAGCATGGCATCCCCATAGAAGCGCAGTCAGATTTGCAACCGTCTCCAGTGAGACCACCACACCAGGCCAACTTCCCTCCGTCACGTGCATGCAATTCTACGCCTTGAGAAGCCCTGCTTACTGATTGACCCAACACGGTCTCAGATCCGGCCGGGTTTCCGAGAACCTGTGTACAAAAAAAATTCGAAATTAAATATATTAAAATTACATCGAATTTACACCAAAAACACTTTTAAATACTGATCCTAAATCATTACACATACTCTCCGTCCGCGCAGGATTGAACTTTTACAGAAATTGAGAATTCTGAGAAAGTACGCTACTGACGGTCTCAGAAGAATTTAACTTATGCTGCCGGTGGAATTTGAGACTGAGAGTGGCATAGCTTCTCAGAATTATAAATTTTTATAAAATTTCAATCCTGCGTGGATGGAGAGTATGTGACCCTCCAAGCACTGGAAATAAAGAGCGTAACAATTCGTTCATATTCTGGCAACGAGAAATTTACAACTCAGAAATAAGCTACTTACTACCAACATAGTGAAAAATTAACACCAAGTCAATACTAAATATACCTGTATATTTTCCCCTACCAGATTTTTTAAAACAGTAATTGTACAGCAGATTGTCCAGATTTAAATAACTATTAAATACTTACCGAAGCAATCATGACAGCTGCACCGACCAGAAAAACGTGTAAATATTGCATGATGTACGAAAATTTCTGAAAATCTTTATTTTTGTTATTTTCCTGTTTCCGGCTGAAGTATCAAGTTATACTGAGTTATGAATTTTGTAACGGGAAGCCTTTTCATATCGGATTTTTAACCTAATCCTTTCCTTCGTATGTATATATGTATGTATGTAAATGCACAAAATTATTTAATTAAGGAAACATATTGATGTACAACTTTAATTGATGGTACGAAAACATGTTATGTTACAACAACGAATGTGTCACCAGACAAGATCATACAATTTCTGCGTCATGTGTGTGTAAATATGTATGTGCATAAGCACTTAATTTTTTATGTACAACTGCAACAAATTTACGTAAATATTTATGTTTATACATATTTACATATGTATGCACATACAGAAATTGTGATCAACATATGTATTTAATGCCAAACTTGGACGAACAGCTCAAATTATAAAATTTGAAATTGGCATTATAAATTTTATAATGTTTTAAGCACGGTATAGAATAAAAATTGTGTTTAAAGTTAAATATAATTATGCTTGCAATATGTATGAACACACATTAATAAGTATGTGTAAAGGTTACACCTTAATCCGTCCTTTTCCTGGAAATTAGATTTGACGAGTAAACAATTGCACACTGGAATTTGTAGTCTTTATTGATGCTTAAACTCGTTTCGCCAGTTATGTTTTAAAATTACGTACATATGTACTTGCAAATATACGAGGAAATTAATTTGCGGAAAATTTTACGTGTCATTTTCTACCGTCATAAGTTTAACAATAAGTACTTACATATATTTATGTATTCAGAATAGTTACCCACGTTACAAATATTGATAAGGATGCATGTTTATCGTGGTTGAGATCTGTACTTAATTTTAACTTACTTATACTGATATGGGGTAGCAAATGTTTCTGCATAATTCCGTAAATAAATATGCACACATGCAGGTATTTAAAATGCACGCACATATATGCACAGTGTCGGACACAATTGAGCGTTAAACAATTAAAGTCGAGGATAACAATGTCACCGAGCTGTCATTGGTTATTGCGTAAAGGTAACATTAGAGACGACTAAATAGGATTTATATTCATACTATTATCTTGATGCATATTGTTGGTAGTTTTCTTTATGCACAGACTTTCTAAAACATATAATTTTATTAATATATAATTTTATGCATATTAAATGTCCTAAACTTATGTGCTGAACTTCAGCACAATCAGGTGGACGCTCAATGGTGCCCCACTCTGACACTCTACCTGTGACGTATCCATTACGATTTCGCATCTTCGCTGCACAACATAGGTAGACATAAATTAGAAAATACACATTTGCAAATTAACAATTGCCAACTAAAGCCAGAGCGAGGCGACACTTTGTAAATGAATTTTCAAGACTGTTTCCGAACTGGTTAACTGTTCGCTCGTGCTAACAACTTTTATTGGTAGACTAATCGAATACTTTCCTGAAGTTCGTTTGAAAATAATTGACAACAGGACTGATTTTTTGACATGATTTCTTAGAATTTTGGATGCAAAAAACGCGGAAGAAAGACAAAACATGCAATATGTGCAAAATTATCTACATATTTATTTTAAATACATTTTCTCAAATGCTTACAAAATGCAGGTACCGATATGAGTTTGCAGCTGCACAATTTTAAAAATCCTAGTGGAAGATAGTACTAGTTTAATGTATGTATATAAAAAATATTTGCAAAGTTTTAATTTTATGAGCTCTGGACTTAAATCAAATAGTTGTGCACTCTAAATAAAAACGAGTAAAATTTGCTCAACGTTGGATAAAAAAGAGGATGACACAACCAAAAGGAAAAATTTATCCAACGTTGAGCAAGATTTGTCAAAAAGTGTGCAAAATTTTCCCAACGTGCGAAAAATAAGGTTGTGTCATCCTTTATACCAAACCTGGAGTAAATTTTACACTTCTTTATTAGAGCGTGCAAATGTTATTTAAAGCTTTAAGGAATACATTTATTAATTTATCATTAATACATTGCTGCATACATAGTGCTTAACACGTACAAACATATATAAGTGTGTATTATATGTAGTACATAATTAGTTAAGAATCAAAGAAATCATCAATATACAGATTAAATAATGCTCGAATATTTAAAAGCTCTGACCTCAACTTCTTTAAGGAATTACGCATATACCAGCGTATACACCTTGCAACATAAATAATCACACCATGAAACCAGGTTTTAAATTTCGTGATACCTAAACATGCCTCAAAATTTCCGCAATCAAAACTATCACCGATATACGAAAGCAAATCCCACAAATATAAAACCCCGTTGTGACCTTCGAACAGAAATCCAATCGCGAAACCGCCTCAACCTTTGCACCTGTCCAATTCGCATAGTGCCCCAGAAGCTTTATCGGTCTCCACAGGTTGTACACAACCTTCCAGTTTATCAGGATTCCAGATGATATAAGGACTTTGAGACGCTTCTCCACGTAATTACTTCTCACCGGGGGTATAACCCAACCTCTAGTTGTCGTAAAGAAATAGTCTCCATCTCCTTGGACGTATGTCACCTTTTGCTGATGATCGTTCAGAAAACTTGTAATTGCCGCGATATTCTCCTTTGTATCCATCAAGGCCACTTTTACAAGGCCACAAGTATTCAAACTATTTATCACCCCGTAACTGTCCTGCTCATCATATTCCACTGGTCGGATGGGGTAATCCAAGACAGAAGTTTTGATATCGTTCGGCGGTTTATTTGAGTTACCCGCTTGTGCAAAAGCCGCGGAATTTAAGTTTGATTTCACCGTGTTATATAAATTTTCTGCTACCTTCATATAGACAGATTTATATTTGCGGTAAGATAGTTCCCGCATTCTATCGCAACGAAACAAAATTTCAAGATAGAACACTCGATAGCGATAGTAATCAGAAGTAGGAACCCCATCTACATTAGTTCTCACCAGGAGATCAAAAGGCATCATGAGTCGAATCCCTTCCACATCCATCACCCTTTTCCAAGGTGATTCGTACACGGTAGGAAGGAACAATCATTTCCATGGTAAAACAAGTTTTGTACCAATTAACCAAAATCGTACCTATCAAAATTGTCCACAATGCAACTAGTGTACCCATTCCGAAATTTGGATACCCATTTTGCCTACATCTAGTGTCGTACATAGACAAACCCGAGTTCTCTAAGACTAGCCCAACAACTAGAAACAAACCGTCTGATGTATATCTTTTAAGCACTGAAGTTAAAATTAAGACCACTATGACGAAAGATATTCCCATACACACCCAAGTCGTCAGATCAATATAATATCAGATCTATATCGTTTAATGAGTTAAAAACTTTGGATCTGCGTAATCGTTACTCCAAATTCATTCTTTGTCTTACATATTCACCAATTATGGAACATTACCCAGGGAAAATAAGTGGCGAATGAATTTACATACCTAAGTCTCCAAATTTAGTCAATCATTTTATTTAAACATTTATGTCCATATCTTTTAAAATTTTAATACTATCCATCCTCATAAAGGTTAAAATTATCCCATTACGTCAACTTGGGGATTGCCGAAGTCCAATTATAAGTACGTATTTTTGTGTGAACTAGTCTTACGTGTAAGACTAAAGTATTGATATAATAAAGTCAAATTTGAAACAATGTAAAAAAGTCCATCGATGGAACAAATCATTAAAATTCCCCCTAAATATCGACGACAAATTCAGACGAGTATCACTCCCTCCATGAAAACGGTATCACTCTGACAGTGACACCCTTTTCATGCTCAAGTCCGCCCTGGCCGTTGTCATGTTAAATAATGAAACCATAACGTAACAAGTCAATGTCTTAAAATATCTTGGCTCGTTTGTGAACACGGTATTCAGAAATTCACAAGAAATATGTACATGCCCGTGCTCATACATTCGTAAAAAGAGAGACTTGTGTTCCAACTTAAAATATGGAACAAGCTTTCGTTACTGCACTCTAAATAAATAGGTTGAAGACACATCCTCACCCGTGGGGGAAACTGCTCCTTTCTGGATAATGATTGACAAGACGTTTTGTCACCTAGGGAAAATAAGTCAACCAAAATTTATGTACAGGGTGGTTTAAATGTCAGGTTACGATGGAAAATTTTTCAATGGGAAAAATTCTTAAATTTCCATTAGCTACGGATTTGGGATTGAGATTTTTATTAATTTTTATCAAAACTAATGGAAAACTGATGACAAAATTCTTAAAATATTGAATTTCAGAGGCAAAATTTCGGTAACTATTGGAGATTTGCGAATTTCTACCATTGAAAAATTTTCCATTGTAACCTGACATTTAAACCACCCTGTATGTATGTATGTATGTATGTATGCAGAAGCCCGTCATGCGGTACAAAAAAAATGAAAATTTTGATTATATTCCTGAATAAAATAATATTTTACGTTTAAGTTTTTCAATTTTATTAATATAAAGCGAAGTCTCCTCGTTTTGTTACATGAGTTATTCTCCCTTGCCGACCAAATATCTGCTTAATCCTGACCAAACAATGAGGCACTATAGTTTGATTTTCATTTTTTACAGGCAAAACTTGTGGCGGTTATATGGCGGTCTTATTTATTTAAATGAATGAGCAAACCATGGTCAATCATGATTTGTCTGAAAGTTATTTAGAGTATATTAGCTTGCTTCGTATTTACAGAACAATGTACGTTGATAAATATTTCAATCATTTATAAGTATGTATGTAACCTACATCAGAAATACCTGAGAATCTGATTTTGATATTATTCTGCTGAAGTATTCCGAATCGGTGTGTCCTCTTTCGCAAAGCCAATTCTTGCCAAAAGTTGTGAAATATTTCCCAGCAGACTATACTATTTATTTCCGATTTGCCGACATGATACGTGAAATTTTGATCTCCTACAATACCCGCCATTTTTACTACGCGGACAAATATTTTTCCACGTACTACAAATGGGATCGAGTAAAAAAGCGATTAGTTGCTTCTAATAAAACTCATATATGGGTTGTTCGTTTAACTGGAATGCTACATTTTGCTTACGTAACTGCACAATTGTGGACAATCTTACTCAATTCGTCGCACACCTTTCTGGAGAGATGGACCGGAGCATTGGTGTCATTAACGTATCTGTTCGAACTGGGATTTCGCGCTGAGTGGAAGGCAGACCCGCGGGTTCTCCAATTGGTTAATTGCGTCGTGCAAGGTCACACGCTAAATCATGGTAATTAAAT